CTCCGCTGGAGTCCCATGTTCGTGAGCAGACGTGCCACACAAACCCTGTCCGTAAATAACCATTTACATTTATTTAAAGGGCGTTGAGGTATATGGTGGAATAAAAGGAGTATTATTCATGCTTCGTGCTGCGGTTCCTAATGGGGCTTAGCACGCTGATATGACCTACAAAGCTTGTTGTTTCGTGCCCGCAGTGCTCTGATGTTCTTCCTACCCCGAGGGTCAGGAATGACGAGAATAAACGATGGTGACGGGTGTCTGGCAGATCCCCGCTCCCTCGCCTTGGAAGTGTCCTTGCAGGGAGCTGCTGGTGACATTGCCTGGCAGGCAGGGGGACGCTGCGTGCTCGGCCGGTCACGCGATGCGCACGGAGCGGCCTTGGCGTGCCGTACAAAATCGATGCCTCCTATATGCATAGCAGTGCATCCGTGCTTGGCTTTTTTTCCCCTGAAGTGCGGCAGGTGGGCTGGCCGGGGCCACCCACGTGCGATGGCTGTGAGAAGCCCCGGTGTCACAGACTGCATGCAGCCCCACAGCCCCCAGCACCGCGGTGCAGCCCAGGAGCTGCGGGCGTCCAGGAGCTGCCTGCGCAGGGTGCTGGGCTGAGTCAGTCCTGCTGGGACAGCGGCCCGGCTCCGGCCAGCCGGCTGCTCATTAACCCAGCCCTGCGGTGTGTGCTTTGCTGGCTTTGACACTGGCTTTAATAGCTCCCTCCTCTTCTCTTCTCTCTCCTTTTTTTTTTTTTTTTTTTCCCTTGTTGTTTATAAAGGTAAATTAGCTGTATGGATATGCATGGACATGAATCAAAGGAATTCAGCTGACTCTTAAGAAGCCCCATTTACACCGTCATGTAATAGGAGATGTGCTAGAACACCAGGATGTGATGAATGCTGCCCGGTCCATAAACACCTTAGGACAAAGGCTGTTTGTGAGTGAGGCATTTCGGTGTAACTTCCCAAAATCTGACTGTGTAGGGGGAAAACCACCAGGCTTTGGAATGCATTAACTTGGCTGAGCAGCAGAGGTGCAGACCAAAGGCTGCAGAGAAACTGCACTGAGTTGCAAAGCCTATGTTTGAGAAGTTGCATGTCCACACGGCACGTGCCCAAGGTCCTCTGACATCCTTTCCATGGGTTACCTCAGAACTGTAACAAACAGCACCCAGAGGGTACGGCTGCCATCTTCCTCAGATGGAAGCAAAATTCACCACGTCACAGAGGCCGGGCTGCTTTTGGGATGCGTGCTGATAGATGTGTTGTTAGGAGGGAGATGTTTCCATGGCAAAGCATCACCCTCAGCGGGGCTGTGACCCTTGGGACCATCCTGTGTGCTCACAGCATCGCTCCAGAGGAGGGAGGGAGCTGCAGGCTGTGCGGGAAGGCCTGAGCTCAGCCTTTGCCAGTCCTCTGACTTGGAAAGAAAACTAAAACCAGAGGCGAGACTGAAATAGCTCATTTTTTCTCAGCAGACAAATACTTGCTTTGAGCATCATTGTCGCTCAGGCTAAATTACTTTTAAATGTTGCTCGGGATTGGGCAGCCTTTCTCAGCCTCTCATTGTGCAGCACCCCACTGGGGCAGTGCCTGTAAGGCCGAGCACTCGGATATCACAGTGATTCTTCCTGACGTCCACTTGGCTTCATTATCTGACCCACGATTCCCTACCGAGGAGATGTCTCGGCTACATCCCAGCTGCACGCCTCTCCTCTGAACAAAGGGCTCTGTGCCCAGAGCAGGCCGGGAGCCATGGTAGGGTGGATGGATGGTCCTCTTGGGGATGGAGAGGAGAAGCTGCAGGCAAGGGGAGCTGAGAGCCCGACCGGCTCTGCATGACAGCTGACGTTACCATAGGGCTGGAGGGATTTTAGCACCTGATTTGTTGCCCCTACCTCTCGTTTCACAGGAGCCTTGTCATGCACGGCACGGACAGGCACCACTTGCAGTGCAGTCCCCCCAGGGCACTCTGCTTTCCACACAGCCACGCAGCTCTCCCAGCTCTGCCGGCTCCCTGCTGCGCCTTCCTGAAGGCAGCCTTGCAGCCACCCTCCTCCCCATCTCTGCAGCGCTTCTCTAGCAGATGTATTTTTAAATCCCAGCTCATAAATTTTGGAAGCTCCTCTCCTTCCCCCACCCCCTCGCCCCTATCAAAGTGTCAGAGGCGAAGAAAAACTGTGAGAGTGATGTACGCGCTCAGCTTCGGCTGCCAGCGCCAGCAGGTTATTTACGGTGCTGCCGAGGCTGCTGCTTAAATCGTGTGGATGGCAGCAGCCTGGGCTCAGTGTGCAGCAGGGAGAGGTTGCAGCCCTTCGGTTGGCAGTGTGTGGCTGCGTCCCTGCCATCGCTGCTCATCCCTGGAGTGTTTCTGCTCCCTCCTGTCCCACCTGCTGCTGACCTGCCCTTGCCGTGTGCTGTCTGTCCGTCCGGACCGGCTGGGAAGGCTTCCCCTGCCTTTCCCTGGGGCAGCAGGGCAGGGGAGGGCAGGCGGAGGCTGCCGTGACTCAGCTGCTGCTTCCTGCAGCCAACCTGCACCTGGGCAAAGCATCCCCATTTCCACTTATAAACGTTGGCATTGGGTGGGGGGAGTGTGGCATCCAGTTGTGCAGAGGTTGGGGGCAGTGACCCCTACTGCTGTAGGGAGCCAGGGGAGCTCATCCATAAAAGAAACTGAGCCCTAAGTGCCTGCTGGAGCCCCGGTAGCAAGGGCTGGCCATGCTCCTGGCTTCTGGCACATTACAACTTTCTCAGACAAATCCTGCAATTGTAATTTTCCTTGCTGGCTCCCAGCCCCAAGGAACAGTGGTTCAGAAAGTTTGCTCAACATTTCAATGGAAGAGGATCCCGTGCCTTTTATGCTCTGTGCCTACTGGAGCATTCATCCCAGGGCCGATGTGCTTGGTGGGGCTCACAAGAACTGCACCGGGTCAGAATGACCTGAGCACCAATGGCTCCTTGTGTCCAGCTCTGTGCTGTGCCTGGAGGGATGCAGGAGAGCTGGGAGGAGTGCTGCTGCCATTCCTGTGCTGGGTTCATCCAGAACCAAGGGGCTTTTTCTGCACCCCTTTCTATACAGCCTTGGGGCTGCAAGCTGGTGGGTACCATGCTAGATTAGCATGGATTTCACAGGGTTTCATAAATCCCCAGCTCCCAGCACGAGGAGGTTTTGTAACTGGCGGCACCGAGCCAAATCCCTGCAATGGGGCTGCATCTTGTTGCTCTCGCTTGGAGCGAAGGAGGGGCAGCACCGGGAGCAGCCCGGCCTCCCCACCAAGTGCTTTCTGACCAAAGGCAGCAAACTGGGGGCAGCCTGGAGCCCCCTGTGTGCCAAGGGCAGCTGCACTCTGCACTGTGAGATGATCCCAACAGTAAATGGAGCACTGTGGCTGTGTTGTCGTTAGCGGTGTCGCTTGGGATGGGGGTGTGGTGTGATGTAGAAGCCATCACTGTGCTGGCTGGGTGTCAGAGGGGCAAAGTGGGCTGCAGGCAGGCTCACTGGGTACCAGCCGAGTGTTCTGAGTGACACAAAGGGCAATTACAGAGCAGCCAGGCTGGGCTGGCCGGCTGGGCACTGCAGCGGCTCCTCTTCTTCCCCCCCACCTGGCTGCACTGCGCCGCAGGGCTGGAGCAGGACTGCACTGTGTTGGGCCCCCAGCTGCAGCCCCAGGAAGGCTTCACATGGCAGGCAAGGCCTGGCCTCTGCACCAGCGGGGCCCTCCATTGCTCCAGAGAATCTCATGGGGGCAGCAGAGCAAGCGGAAGCTCTGAAAATAGATCTGTTTCCAGCTGCCGATGACTCGCGTTAATTAATTAAAGCCTCGCAAGCTCAGGCCTGTAAATAGGCAGCGTGGAGAACACCGGGCTCAGCTTGCTCTTTGCTCATGCACTAATTACCCCACTCCAAGGCCAGGAGCTAGCACAGCCTGAATTTGGGCTTGGGGCCACGTGGGCGGACAGGAGCGCTGCTGTGGGACAGGACAGGACGGGATAGGATGGGACCTGGCGAGAAAGGGGTTGAACCATGGCTGGTGCTTGCAAACAGCCCATCCCTGCACCAGGAAGGCAATTGCAGGCAGCAGAGCCTCCTTGAACTCCCCATAGGGACAGCTGGCATGCTGGTGGCTCCCTCCACGCCATGCCAAAGTGGAGTCAGGATGCGACCCAGGGGACCGCTCTGAATTCTCCATCCCAAAAAAGCTGTGTGGGCAGCAGCTGTGCTCCGGGTCTGGTTGGCTGTGAAGGGCTGCAGTCAACCCGGTGCGCAGGTGTCTGTCTTCAGTGGGGTGGGCAGGAGGCGAGGCGAGGTGTGGAGGAGAAGTGAGGACAGGAGGAAATGGCCATCAGCCGCCGGAGCGTGCAGGCGTGGCGGGAGAGCGGCCGGCAGGCTGGGGAGAGGGCAGCGTGCTGGGAGCGGTGCTGCACGGCTCTGCCAACACGGCAGGGAGGCACAGCAGCCACCTCCCGCTCCCGCCGGCTTCCCGGTGCCCTCGATGCGACCTGCAGATTGCACGCCGCGCTCGAGCTTTGCGTCTTCCTGACGGATGAGGAAGGAGGGCTCAGCCACGTGGGGCAGAGGAGGCTCCAGGGGGCTCAGCGCTCCAGCACACCCCACGCACAGGGTGCCGGCACCCCCAGGGCGGCACACCAGGGGATCTTTGGCTGCGAGCCGGCTGTGGTGCGACGAGGCCGTGCGGTTGTTTCCACCATCGAGGACTTTGCCCTCAGACGGCTCGAGGCCGGGCGCGGTGCCCAGCTGGGCGTGCAGGCTCCCGCACCTGGCTGCTGGCCGTGCTCCACGCACCCACCCACCGGGTTCGGGGATCGGGGTGGCCTCGAGCCGGGGTGCTGCGGGACTTGGCGGGCGCTCCCGCCCCTCCGCGCTCCGGCCCCCGCAGCACCGCAGGTCCGCGGCCCTCACGCACCCGGGGCGGAGCGCGGCGCGCAGGGCGGCCGGCAGGGGGCGCCATAGTGCGGGCGGCGCGGCGCGGCCCACGGCGGGGCCGCGCACAGCGACCTGCGGAGGGCAGCTCAGCCAGCGCCGCGCCGGGCGGAACCGGACCGAGCCGAGCCGCAGGCAAGCGCCGGGGAGATGGGATCGGGGCCAGATACCGGTGGGGTGCGGGGTTCGGGTGCTGGATTTGGGGCTTTGGGTCCGTAGATGAGGTGCTACGTGCCCCAGCGTAGGGTGCGAGTGCTGAGCACGGGGTGCTGGCTCATCACCAGGCAGGATTTGGGGTGCTGGGTGCGGGCGCTGGGTCCGCTGGCTGCGAGTGCCAGGTCTGGCGCTGCGTGCACAGGTACGGTCCGGTGCCGGTGCGGTTCTGTGTGCCGTGCCGGGCTGCGGAGAGGCACCTCGAGAGGGTTCGGGACGGAGGTGAACGGGTGTTGGGGGGTGCTGGGAGCGGTGCCGGCGGCAGCAGGGCCCGGGGCAGGATGGAGGCGGTGGACAACCTGGTGGGGATTTTTGGGTGACCACAGCTGCGGGGGAGGAAGGGACGTGCGGGTTTGGTGGCGGTGCAGCCCATCCTCCCGGCCCGTTCCGCTCAGGGTTTGGGGCTGCGCCGCTGGGGCTTGGGGATGCCCCGAGCAGGGGGGTTGCATCGTACCGGGGACCGTGCTTGTGCCGGGGCAGTGTGTTGCGCCCTGCTCCCGCTCCTACTGGGGCTGTGCTCGCCCCGCCCGCAGCCCAGGTGGGCCCGCGGCTCCTCCATCCCGGAGCCTGAGGCGGGGGTGGGGGACGCGGGAGGGATCCGGTGGTGCCAGGGCACCGTCTGTGAAGACAAAGAGGCTGCCCAAAATGGACGAGGAGCACGGGCTCCCGCAGAGGCAGGGATCTGTTGCTGTGAGTGATGCCCGCTGCCGGCCCCCTGTGTGGCTGCGGCCCCCACCCGACGGCCGTGGTGACGCTGTCGCCGCCCCCCATGGGATGTGCCCGACGGGTACGGGGCAGAGCTGCCCCCGCCGTGCTGCGATCCCTATCAGCGCTTTGTTTTTGTGTTGCAACCGGAGGGGAAAGAAAAACACAAAACCAGTGCCAACCCTTTCAGCTCCCACGAGTGAGGGTTGCGCGGCTTTTCCTCCCCCCACCTCCAGTGTCCATCTGTTGGAACCTTTCCCTGCTTACCCCATCAGGAATACCGGCAGTGAATTTGGGGTGAGGGCAGCCAGGTGGCTGCAGCGGGAGGAAGGTGAGGTTTTGGGGCACCTTTGGTACTGGGCTGTGCTCTGGCTGGGCTCAGCCCCATTGCTGCTCCCCTGGGGGCTGAGGATCATTCTATCTCCCTGCTGCCAAACCCATGCAAATCCACCCAGCTCTGATGTGAGCGTGGCTGCATGCAAACCACTGGAAAGGCCGAGTCCCACACTCGTGGGGTGTATGGGAGTGGGATGCAGAGTTAAAGAGCATCAGCTGCAGTTTGACCCCAAAGCTGCAGTTGTTTTGGAGGGAAACTGGAACAAACAAGACGAGGTCGTTAAGCTGGAACCAATAAGAGTGCTGCCATCATCTAGTTTTGCTGGACTTCGGGGAAAAAGAAATAAGGAAACAGTTTATCTTTGGAATAAATAAAGCATAAAGGAACAGGCATGCAGGGAGCGCCCGCAGCCCCATGGGCTGGGGCCCCCCTTCCCGCATCCCATAGCCATGGGAGCAGTGCCTGAAACCCGAGCACCAGGGAGAATCCCTGTGGCAAAACCCCGAGCAAATCCCGTGTTGACCCATGGCCCAGCGAGATGGAGTGCAGTGCATCCATGGGGATGAGCAAATGGTCCCGAGTTGGTCCCAAACCCCAAATCTGAGCAAAGCTGCACTGGCAGCTGCTGGCTCTGCAGCGTCCCTTTAAATTGAGGGTTGAGGCTTTGAGTTGGGTTGTTTTTTTTTTTTCATTTTTAATTGTTCCTGGGGGTTTAATTCTAAAATTATTCTCCTGCTTCTGCTGTGGAAGCAATGTGCTCTGACCACAAATCCTTTTAAGGCTGAGCTGCACGATGAGCCACGGCGTGCAAAAGAACCGGCACGGGAACCTCTGCTGGGAGCTCTGCTGGGCACAGAGGGCTGTATGTCTGTCTGTCTGTCCATCTGGCCATGCAGTCTTGTTTTGCCACAGCAGGGGAAAAAAAAAAAACAACACAGAGAAACCGTTTGGTTTTTTTTCCGGTGGAGATTTTCCCAGCACTGCCTGCCTCTCCCTCCCATGGAAATGTGGGGCTGGGGCGGTGATGCTGAGGATGGAGGAGGTGGGATGTGGGGATGATTCATCCCTGATGCCCCTGGAAGGTGGAGGCACTGCACCTCTCATCCCCGTCCCCCCGTGTCCTGGTGGGGGGAGCTCGGTGCCTGGCTGTGGTGTCTCAGCACACTTCTCAGTTCCTGTTTGGCTCCATGGCGCTCTCCCTCTGCTGCGCCCACATCCCAAATTTGGGGAAAGGAGAAGCATCGCGTGAGCCGTGCTATCTCGTGCATCTCCTGGGAAGCGCCTCGGGGTCGAGCAGGGTTTTGTTTAAAGAACCAAAATAAACGCAGAGCAGTGCTGGTGGAGGTCACGGCGCTCCTTCCCTCCCCGGCCCAGCACCCAGCACATCACAGATCCCCTTTTCCCGGAGGACTTTTGCCAAGTTGGCGTTTTTCTTGCTGCTGTCGGCAAAGTCCTGTCTGGCTGAGGAGTGGATTGCCTCCTGCCCTGGGTCGCAGCTGCAGGCGTGTGGGGATGGGGATGGGTGTCCCTGCTGTACCCTGTTTGGGGCCATTCGCTGGTGCTGCACCCAGGGATGTTTTATGATCTGCTGCAGCAGAGGCATGGGAGGGCTGCAAGTTGGGGAAAAAGCTGCAGAAAGTTGCCTGGCAACCCTCATCCCAGCTCTGCTCGCTGGGTACCGCGGGATCTCGCAGGATTTCATTTCCTTTCCAAAACTGAGGGCTGCCGGGGCTGCATGACCCTAAATGGGGATTGTCATTTTGCTCAGCTTTCCCTCGTCTCCTGCCTCCCTAAGCCCATAGCTGTGTGGCTCAGGTGCATGCACCACTTTGCAGAGCGTGGCTTAGGGATGCTGGTGGCCGGGGGAGCTGCGGGTGCCCCCTCACCTCATCCCACGCTCTGGGCTCAGACTGGGATCAGGGCCCCCGTGTGGGGAGCGGGCACAGAGTGCCCAGGTCACTGCGGCGTGGAGAGCACAGCACTACTCTGATCTGAGTTGGACTAGGGATGCTTTCATTTCTCTCCTGCTCTTCCCCCACTCTGTAGGTATTAAAAAAAAACCCAAACAACAACAACAACAACAACAAATCCACGCAAAAGCAAATAAATAGAAAAGAGAAGCTCAGAGCAGCTCTTTCCTTTGGGTAAAACATTAACAAGCTCTTGGAGCAAGCTGCTTCATTTCCTTCAGGACAAAGTTGATTTGACGTGGGGGTGAAGGAGCCTCTGCTCCACGGGCGCAGCCGCTGGGCTGGAACGGCACAACGTGCCCAGCCCCGGCACTGCCTGGGTTCTCCCGGGTAAAGTCCGGCGGTGCGGTGTGACGGGGGCAGGGTGTGCACGCAGGAGGTGCGGTCCGGCCGTGCGCGTGGCCGTGCTGTGTTTGTTCCCGGTGCTGTTTGGGCTGTGCTGAGCTCGTAGCGCCGAGATGTGACATGGGCAGGAGATGCTGTCTGCCTGCTTGCTCGCTTCTGTGCCCTGCTGGTTCTCTGTTGTTTCCCTTCTCCCTCCCCTCTGCCCAAAGCCCGGTGCGGTATTTGCTTTAGGGAATCCGTCTGCAGCAGGCATGTTTGAACAGCTTCGCTGGAGGGCCAGGTATTTGGTGTATATATAGAAAAAAGCCCTAAGCAAACAGGTTAATGCCAGCTGCTTTGCGGGGAGGTCTCCTGTGCGGAGATATCCTATGGTCTCTGTCCTCAGCAGGCAGCAGGCATTCTGTCCTGCCTCCCCGTGTCTCCCCATCCTCCTGTCGCAGTTTCGCTCCCCGTGGACGTTGGTGTCCCCGTGTGGCCACTCACGTCCATGCCTCCCTGTGGTGGTTTCTTAGCCAGGATTTGCTTCCTGGCTGGGAGCTGAAGATGCTGAGCTTCAAGGCAGCTGTTGATAAAAGGGAAACTGGAATATAGCGGAAAAACACTGGGGGGAAAAAAACACAGTCTTCCTTGAAAACACATGGTGGAGGTGCCAAGTGACTTTGTATTGCTTTCGCTTTGCCCTGTGCTGCATGTGCCTGGAGCATCCCTCCCCAGCCCTCTGTCCTCAGAAGTCCCGGTCACCTCTCTGCACATTTGGGGTTTCCCATCCTTCCTGCCAGCTCCTGGCTTGGCTCTGGGGAAGGAACAGAGACCTTTGGCTTTCAGGTCACACCGGCTGCCCTGTTGCCTTCTTTGCACGTGGATAACCTGGGGACCACCCCTCGTGGTGGCCAGATTCCTTTGCCCAGCAGCCCCTCTGACCTTGGCTCTCTGTTCCAGAAGCTTCCTGGGCAGCCCATCCCCAGCAGCAGCTGTGCCAGCCCCTCCAGCTGGGGGCTGCCCTTGCTGGGCACCAGGGACTGAAGATGTGTGGGGACACGGTGCGGCTGCTGACTGCCCTGCTGGTGGCCGTGGCCATGGGCTACCCCAACCGGCGCTCTGCCACCGACCTGGATGCCACCCCCAGGATGACGGTCACCTTTGACGGTAAGAGGGCTCGAGGAGGGAACAGGAAGAAAGCTTAGCCTGCCTGGGAGAGTTTCACTGTGAAAACCATTTCTCTCCGCAGAGCTGTCTGGTGTGCGGCGGTTCAGTGGGCGCAGCCTGAATTACACCACACTCCTGCTGGAGGACGAGCGGGGTGTGCTGTATGTGGGGGCCAGGGGGGCCATCTTTGCTCTCAATGCCAGCAATGTGGCTGATGGCTCGCATCGCATGGTGAGCTGATGTCCCCCATTCCCAAACAGCCTCCAAACTTTTGGAGTGGGGTTTCATGCTGTGCTGGCACTTCTTCCTGTACAGATCCATTGGGAAGCATCTCCGGAAAAGCAGCTGGACTGCCTGCAGAAGGGCAGGAACAACAAGGTATGGCCATTACCAGGCAGTGAGGGTCCCGTGGTGTCCCCAGGCGGTGTCCCCAGGCAGTAACGTGCGTCCTGTCCACCGTAGACTGAGTGCTTCAACCACGTGCGGTTCCTACAGAGGCTGAACACCACGCATCTCTACGCCTGTGGCACCTACGCCTTCCACCCGCTCTGTGCTTCCATTGTGAGTCTGCCCATCCCCATCCAGGGTGGCTTTGGGGTGGCAACACCTGGGCACAGTCACTGTCACACTGATGGCACAGGTCCCTGATGGCCACGTGGGGTCCTGCATGTCCCGCATCCCTCCCACAGCCATGATGTGTGTCCCCATGTCCCCAGCTGCTCACAGCAGGTCTGTGCCCGTTCCCACAGCTGTACTGCCAGTCTGGTTTGTCCCCAGCCACTAGAGGAGCCACCATACTTGGCTCCATCATTTAAAGTGCTTTGAACTACAACCCTCAAAGAAAATAACTCCTACAGTGACACAGATGTTGCAGGGAGGACCCAGCCCAGCTGAGCATTGGGTGTTGGTGTTTTGTTGGGAACTCATCCTGCCTGGAGGGGATAGCCGTGGGTGTGGCTTTGTCCCTGCCCTAGTGGGCACAGCGCTGTCCCCCATACTGATGTCCCCGGTCCTGCAGGATGCTGACAGGTTCACACTGCCCTCCCGTTTCGAGGAAGGCAAAGAGAAGTGTCCCTACGACCCCTCCCGTGGCTACACCGGCCTCATTGTGGGTAAGTGACACTTCACCAGGTCAGGACACTTTGGGCCACTGTGGGGGCAGCCAGCCACATGGACTGCTTGCGGAGGGTGCAGTGAGATTGGGTATCTCCTTCCTTCTCCTCCTCCTCTGCCCGGGGCACGTGGATGTGGTGGCTTTTGGGGCTGTCCTCACAGTCCCTGGGGTACAGTGGCCATGCTAATGGGTGCCTGGTCTGTGCAGATGGTGGATTGTACACAGCTACACGCTATGAGTTTCGGAGCCTCCCTGACATCCGGAGGAACCTGCACCAGCGGCCTCTGAAGACAGAGGAGTCCCCTCTGCACTGGCTGAATGGTAAAGATGTCTCTGTCCCCTGGGATTGGTGCCTGGGCTCGTCCAGAGTGGTGTACTGCAGGGGAAAACTGAGGCAGGAAGGGACTGGGAACCCGGACCCAATTGCTACCTCTCGCTCCATTTCCCCCAGATGCTGAGTTTGTGGCCTCCATGCTGGTCCAGGAAAGCAAGGACAGTCTCGTGGGTGACGATGACAAAATCTATTACTTCTTCATGGAGCGAGCAGGCGAGGAGACCACATCCTTCTTTGACAAGAACCAGGTGGCTCGGGTGGCCCGGGTGGCCCGCGTGTGCAAGGTAGGGGTGTCCCTGTGGAGCAGGGGATCCGGGCATGCACCTGGGGACAGAGCTGGTTGTGTGCTCTGGGGGGTTCCCCTAATGGGGAATGGGGACTGTGAGGATGGGGACTGGCTCTGCACTGGGGGTGCCAGGCTCAGTGCACCCACCAAGAACCCCTGTGCACCTTTCCAGAGTGATCTGGGGGGGAAGAAGATTCTGCAGCGCAAGTGGACATCCTTCATGAAGGCACGCCTGGTGTGCTACATCCCCTACTATGAGGTGCTGCGCAGCGTCTGCAGCCTGGACAGCGGTGGCTGGGCCAGCACCGTCTTCTATGCTGCCTTCACGCTCTCGGCGCAGTGGTGAGTGGGGCCGGGCATGGGGGTGAATGGAGGTGGTGGGGGATAACGGGAGGTCCTGCGCCCAGGAGGACGATGGAGGCCTCGGCTGTGTGCCGCTACGACATCTCTGAGGTGCAGCGTGCCTTCGAGGGGCCCTACATGGAGTACCAGGACTCCTCCCGCAAGTGGTCCCGCTACGATGGAGCGGTGCCCGAACCCCGGCCCGGCTCTGTGAGTGCTGGGGATGTGTGGGTTTTGGGGATGGGACGCAGGTGGGTGAGCCCCCACTGACAGCCACATCCTCCCCCTGGGCAGTGCATCACAGACAGCTCCCGCCGGAGGGGCTTCAACTCATCGCAGGACCTGCCCAACAGCGTGCTGGACTTCGTCAAGCTGCACCCGCTGATGTTTGAGGAGGTGCAGCCGGCGGGCGGTGAGCCGCTGCTGGTGAAGAGAAGTGTGGCATACAGCCGCCTGGCGGTGGACCGGGTGCAAGCCCTCGATGGGCGCTCCTACGACGTGCTCTTCATGGGGACGGGTGAGTGTAGGACATGGGATGGGTCCCTGCGTGGTGCTGGGGATCCCATGTCCCCTCACCACCCCATCTGCAGGGGACGGCTGGCTGCACAAAGCCGTAGTGCTGGGCTCCAGCCTCCACATCATCGAGGAGGTGCAGGTGTTCCAGGACCCGCAGCCTGTGGAGACGCTGGTGGTGTCCCGCCGACAGGTGAGGGGTGGCTACGGGGCTGGGGGTGGCACGGGGCACCCCATGTGTGGGGCAAAACTGCAAGCTGGCCCTTTCCATCCCAGAGGAGCCTGTATGTGGGGGCTGCTAGTGGAGTCCTGCAGGTGCCCCTGGCCTCCTGCGCCAGATACAGCTCCTGCTATGACTGTATCCTCGCCCGGGACCCCTACTGCGCCTGGGATGGCTGGGCCTGCCGTGACACGGCCAGCGGGAACAGGTAGGGGCAGTGCTGATGGGCGGTGGCTGTGGGGCCAGCAGCAGCAGGGCCATGTGCTGAACCCATGTCCCACAGCACAGGGCTGGTGCAGGATGTGCAGAGTGGCAATGTGGGATGCCGGAGCGGCTCTGGACGTGGTAAGTCATCATAAAATCACGGAGTGGTTGGGTTGGAAGGGTACCCTACAGCCCATTCAGTTTTAACCCCTGCCATGGGGAACTGGAAGGTCAGGATGCCCAGGATTCCATCCAACCTGGCTTTGAACACTTCCATGCGGGGGGCACCTGCAGCCCTCTGGGCAGCCTGTGCCAGGGCCTCACCTCCCTCCAAGTATGAATTTCCTTCTGACATCTGTCCCCGCAGGCTCCCTGCCGTGGAAGAACCGCACGGTGCTGTGCGGAGATGACGTGCTGCTGCCCTGTGACCAGCGCTCCAACTTGGCACGGGCTGTCTGGCTGCTGAATGGCAGCGAGGTGCCGGGCACTGGGCAGGAGCAGCTGCGCGTTGGGGTGGATGGGCTGCTGGTGACCAACACGCTGCCAGGACACAGCGGCGAGTACCGCTGCTATGGTGAGGAGCGTGGGCTGCGCACACTGCTGGCTGCCTACAGCCTCACCGTGCTGCCCCAGCTGCCTCGTGCCGCCACCACCACCACCACCTCCAGGCCCATAGCGGCCAGCCAGGCTTCTGGAGACACCAAGGTGGTCTATGTGTCTGCTATCGTGGTGCTGGTGGTGCTGTGTGCCGTGCTGGGTACCGTCCTGCTCTACGTGTCCTGCCTGGAGAAGCGCAGGGGGAAGTACGTGCTGGGGGAGCCGCGGGCTGTGAGTCCTGAGCTGCAGACGGTGTCGGCCAGCTGCCTGCGCAAGGCCCGCGGGGAGGACGAGGAGGAGGAGGAGGAGGAGGATCTGGCTTATCCCTGCCTGCGCATCATCCCTGGTGAAGCACCCACAGCCATCGTGTCCCCAGCCAAAGAGCTGCCAGTGGCCGTGCCCCCCCCTCCACCTCCACCGCTACCCACCGAGCTCACCAACGGGGTGGGCTCCCTGCCCAGCGTCCTCCGCAAGATGAACGGCAACAGCTACATGCTGCTACAGCAGCAGGATGAGCCGCTGGCCTCACCGCTCTACAGCGCGTCCTTCACCGAGGAGCTCAGCAAGATCCTGGAGAAGCGGAAACACATGCAGCTAGTGGAGAAGCTGGATGAGAGTTCTGTGTAGGACCGGGGTCCCACCAGTCCCTTCTTCCACCCCTGCCAGCAGTGTTACAGACTCAGCGAAACTACCTCTAGGACCGCAGCACCGGGCTGGGCCCGGGCTTGGCCATCCCTTTGGCTTTTCACGCACTTTTGAGACTTGATGTACAGAAAAAGAAAAGAAAAAAACAATGGGAAAAGGGAAAAATATCCCCCAAAGAGGAATCTATTTAAATTTGGGAGCTCTATTTATGTATAAAAACCCACCGATGGCGACCACAAGCTGGAGGCAGGAGCTGGAGCACAGCTGACGGTGGACATGGGGAGGGAGGGCTTGTGTCTGTCTGTCTATCTGTCCATCCAGGCAGGCAAGACCCTGTCCTGGATGTGTGGACCTGGCCCACCCCATTGGGCATCCCCAGCTCTGTGTGCCCAGGCACTGAGAGGTGGGTGCAGAGCGGGACTGTGGGCTTGGGGCTGTGCTGCAGGGCCACCAGCTGCTGCCTGCTGCACATCTGCTCCCCAGGGCTGCCTGCAGGAAAGATGCTCAGCGAGGGACAGCGAGGAAGAGGAGAGCTGTCCCCACAAGTGGGATGAAACTGCCCATGCCCGCCATCAGCCCAGGGTGAGATGCGGGATGGGTGCTATAGGGAGGGGTACCACTGTGGGGAACCTGACCCTGACAGCACGTTGCCCTCCCCCCACAGGGTGCTGCTGGCAGCAGGACTGCTCTCCGTGCCTGAGGGCCACGCACACCAGTTGGCTTGTCTGCATCTTCGCCATGCGGTGTGGGAAGGGACCAGCGTCCTCTCGGCATCCTTGCCCTGCAGACTGGACACGATGCACTTTTGCATCCTCATGCAGTGCCAGCAGATGCTGGGATCTTGGCCGCTGCCCCGTGCCACGGACTGTTCCCTTGCACGCTGAGGAGCCCTGCCCCAGGCTTGCTCTTTGCAGGGCCTCCAGCTCCCTGTGGCCCTGCTGGCCCTGACTCCCTCTTCCCCCTCATCTACCTCTGCTCCCTCACCCTGGGGACAAGAGGACACCCCAGCTCTGTCCCTCCGTGTCCCCCTCTGTCACCCCCTGGACTGAGGGCATCGCCCAGAGCACGGCCCCCTCCCCACCGGGCATTCCCTTCCCTCTCTGGGGCGGACGAGCCACCCCGAGGGCGCATCGCATTCCTCCGGTACGGCCCCAGGGCAATAAAGGCGACGGCTCTGCGTGGAAGCGGCGGTGCTTCAGCGTGCGGCTTTATTGCGGCGCCGTGCGGGGGCCGCGCACGGTGAGGGCGGAGGGTTTGTTGGTGAGCGGGTGCCACTGGCCCTGCACGCTGGGGTTGGCGGTGTGGAAGGGTTTGCGGATGCGCACGATGTCCAGGCCGGACTGGGAGGCCAGCTTGGCGGCCAGCTGCACGATCTCCTCGCTCGTCTTGCTGGCGATCAGCTCCTCCCGCACCGTGCCGTTCACTGCGGGACAAGACAGACGCTCGGTGTGGCCGCGCCGTGCCCGCAGCGCCTCCCGCCGTTCGCCGCCCCCCCCCGCACTCACGGTACTCGGCCTGCAGCACGGGCGCGGGGCAGTCGCACGGCCGCACGTACACCACCACGTCCGGGTGCCGCCGGGCGAAGTCCACCGCCTCCTCCTCCACGAACTGCCTGCGGGACGGAGGGGCGGATCCGAGGTCAGGGCTCGGAGGTCGCGCGGCGGGGCGGCGGGCGGCGGGCTCACCTGGCTCCGCGGGCGTCGGGCGCGGCGGGGCTGAACACCACCTGCAGCCGCTGCAGCTGCCGCACGTAGCGGCCCACGCCGTTGTGCAGCACGGCCGTCAAGAAGCGGCTGGCCGTCCCGCGGCCCGTCATCTCGCCGCCCGGAAGCGGAACGGCGCTCCGCGAGGAGGGGGAAGGCAGAGAGAGCATCCGGCCGCGCCGCGCGCCGGTAGTGACGGCGACGCGGGAGCATGGCGGCGCCCGCGGGGCTCCACGTGGGGGGGGCGGCCTGAGCCGGGCCGATGCGCGGGCGGGATGGCGGCGGTGCCGCTGCGGCCCTGCAGGGCCTCCGGGCGGCTCCTGCCGCTGCTGCGCGGCGGGGCGCGGAGCCGCGGGGCCTCCCCGTGGGCGGCGGGGCCGGGCCGGGTGGCGCAGCGGCGGTACAAGAAGGACGTGCTGCCCGAGCCCGGCGGCGCCGCGCCCGCCGTGTCCGTCACCGAGATCCGGCGGTACCTCCGCGCGCAGGGCATCCCGTTCCAGGACGGCTACAGCTGCCTGCACGCTCCCAGCCTGTTCGGGCCGGAGCTGCCGACCGCCGCCGGGCCGCCCTTCACGCTGTTCATCGACAAGACGACGGGCAGCTTCCTCTGCACCGCCACGTTAGCCGAGGGCGGCTGGCAGGACCTGCAGGCTGCCGTGGAGCTGCGGCACCGCGGGGTCCCGGCGCCCGGCCCTGAGGAAGGAGAGCACGAGGAGGAGGAGGCGGCGGAGGCGAGGAGGGCGCGTGAGGATGCGCGGCGCATCTGGGAGCGGGCGCTGCCGCTGGGAGAGCTGCTGGACGAGGAGGAGACGCAGACCACCAAGGCTGCCTTCGGCATCGCCCCGCTGGCCGACAGCACGCTGAAGCGCTTCGGGGTGCGCTACCTGCGGGCGGCCAAAGCCCTGGTGTTCCCGTGGTTCGCCCCACGCGATGCGGCGCTGCGGGGCCTGAAGCTGCTGGTGGCAGAGCGGCAAGGTGACGCCGTGAGCTACACGGAGGAGACGTTCCCCCGCTTTGATGCCTATCGCAACCTCTTTGGGCTGCCGCTGATCGGCCGTCGTGACACCGAGGTGGTGCTGACCGGGAGGGAGCTGGACGCCCTGGCCCTGCATCAGGCCACCGGCGTGCCCTGCCTGGCACTGCCACGCGGGGCCACCATCCTGCCGCCCGCCCTGCTGCCCTACCTGGAGCAGTTCAGGCGTGTTACACTGTGGCTGGGTGACGACCTGCGCTCCTGGGAGGCCGCCAAGCTCTTCGCCCGCAAGCTGAACCCCAAGCGCTGCTCGCTGGTGCAGCCCGGAGACCTCCAGCCACAGCCCTTGGAGGCGTTGAACCGGGGTCTGAACCTCACCAAGATCCTGCGTGCCGCCCTGCCTGCCGGACACAAAGCCATCGTCTCCTTCCGACAGCTGCGCGAGGAGGTGTTTGGGGAGCTGGCCAACAGCGAGCAGGTGGCCGGTGTCAAGTGGGCGCGCTTCCCTGAGCTCAACAAGCTGCTCAAGGGGCACCGCCGAGGCGAGCTCACCGTCTTCACCGGTGAGGGTCTCTACCCAAAGTCTGGTGCGGGATGCTGCTCATCCCAAGCTTGGGTTGCTGTTATTGTGTTGTTGGTTTTTGGTATGACCATCACCACTGTGCATTCTCCCCCAGCTCACCTCCCAGTTCATCCCAAGCTTGGGTTACTCTCATTGGGTTCTTCTTCTGGTTCTTCTTCTTGGTATGAGCATTGCCATTGCGCATTCTTCCCCAGCTCACTTCCCAGCTTATCCCAAGCTTGGATTGCTGCTGTTGAATTCTTCTCCAACCACCCTTTAGTATGATGATCACAGTTGCACTCATTTCCCTGTTTACTTCCAGGTCCGACAGGCAGTGGAAAGACGACATTTATTAGTGAGTATGCACTGGACCTGTGCACACAAGGGGTGTGCACGCTGTGGGGCAGCTTTGAAATCAACAACATCCGCCTGGCCAAGATCATGCTGACCCAGTTTGCCACCCGGCGCCTGGAGGACCAGCTGGAGCTGTATGATGAGTGGGCCGACCGCTTTGAGGACCTGCCACTCTACTTCATGACCTTCCATGGCCAACAGAACATCAAGTATGGCACCATCCCTTTGTCCCTTAATGGTCTTCTCCTTCTGTGTGCTGTGGCACAACGGGGTAGACGTGGGGCTGATCACACTATAGTGGTTGGGGTCGCAAAGTGTGACTCATGGGGCTGCACAGTGTCATCCATCTGGTGGAGGGGGGTGGAGGAAAGGAGGGAGGGGAACAGGCACTGTGGTGCCGCCAGTTCCCCCTGTGCCTGGCTGGTTGTCCCCAATGCTCCTGGTGTCCCCTTTGCAGGACAGTGCTCGACACCATGCAGCATGCAGTCTACATGTATGACATCACCCACGTGGTGGTGGACAACCTGCAGTTCATGATGGGCCATGAGCAGCTCTCTGCAGACAGGTAATGCTTCTATGGGGGTTTTGACACCACCTGGGTGTCCTGTCTGGTGTAGGAACCTACATTAGAATCTTTAAGATTGGAAAATAGCTCTAAGATCATTGAGTCCAACCACAACCCATCCCCACTGTGCCCACTAAGTCACATTCCTCAGTGCCACATCTTTCTTTAATACCTCTGTGGAGAGATCTGTTCACCACCAGCTCCACTGCTCTCTGAGAAGAATGTTTCCTAATATTCAACCTGCCCCATTTTGGGGCAGTCACTCCCACGGATGTGGCACTGCCCCCATTGTGCCCCCTTGCTGTCCCCCGCAGGTTGGCAGCACAGGACTTCATCATCGGCGCCTTCCGCAAGTTCGCCACCGACAACACGTGCCACATCACGCTGGTCATCCACCCGCGCAAGGAGGATGACGAGAAGGAGCTGCAGACCGCCTCCATCTTCGGCTCTGCCAAGGTGGCTCCTCCTGGCCCTCAGGCGGGGACGGGGTTGGGACATCGGCACGCTGTGACCCAAAACGTGCCGCGGTGGGGCTGGGTGTCCCCTGTCACCTGGTGGCACACAGCTAATTGATTGATGCTCATCAGCCGTGGGTGGGACACGGCATGAGTTGCTCCATGGGGTAGGGGGGAGGATGCTGGGTTCCCCACAGCATACTGAATGTGGGGGTGCCCCGTGCCCTGCAGCACCCCCTGGAGATGTTCTCCTCCCACAGGCCAGCCAGGAGGCCGACAACGTCCTCATCCTGCAGGACCGCAAGCTCACCACGGGTCCCGGGAAGCGCTACCTGCAGGTGTCCAAGAACCGCTTTGATGGCGATGTAGGCGTCTTCCCGCTGGAGTTCAGCAAGGCCTCGCTCACCTTCTCCTCCTATGGCAAAAGCAAGGCCAAGCTGAAGAAGGTGAAGGAGGAGAAGGTGCCTTCACCCAAGAAGGGTCCCAATGGAGGCGTGGGCAGTTCTGGCAAGCCCTGAGCGTGGCAGGGACAACGTTGGTACTCGGGCACACCACGTGCCATGCAGCTGTGCTCCTCCTGTGCAGAGCATCCTCACATTCCTCAGAGATGTGAGAGGAGCAGGAGAGGATGCGCAGACTTTGGGGTCTCTAGACCCTGAGCAAGTCGTTATATGGCTGCTAAGTGGAGCCCACAGCCCAGGTTTACCTCCCGCGTGGTACGGTGCTGGTACAGCTCTGCCAGCTCTGACCGCAGCCCCCCCAGCCATGGGGTACCACCACCAGCAGCAGCAGCAAGGCCTCAGGGTCCCAGCCCCAGGCACCTCGGAGCCTCTCATGGCAAAACACCGCGTCTGAGCCCGTCCTCCCCACCGCGGGGAGTCCCCGGTGGGCATTTGGCCCTATCCTTCTGTTTTCTCTACACTTTTATTAAAGCAGAACTGTGAATGCCGTTTGTCCTTCGCTGCCGTCCCCGCGCTCCCATTCCCCATCCGTCCACCTTTGGGTCCCCTTCTCGGACGGTGCTCAGGCTGCGGGGCAGGACGGCACCGCGGGTCACACGGCCCCACGCGTAGCACCTCCCGCCCCAGCGCTGACCCAGCGGCGGGCACCTCCCCGCCACCGCGCCCCACGGCACCCACGCGCGGGTTCGCCACCCGCACCCCACGGTGCGGCCGGGGAGAAGGCGGCGGCCGCCGGGACGGGAGCCGGGCCATGGCGGAGGACGGGGACGCGGAGGTGAGCGGGGCGCGGCCCCCCCTGCCGTCCGCAGGGCCGAGGGGCGGGCCGCCCCCCCTGCCGCCCCCAGAGGGCCGTTCGCGGCCGTCGCTGCCCCGCGGCCCGGCCGTAGGGCAACCCCCTGCCGCCTCCCATCCGCCGCGGGGCCGGGGGCCGGGGGCGGCGGGGCGGGCGGGGCCTGGCGCGGCCCGGGCCGGCGGGGAGCGGCGGCGGCGGAGCGGCGGGTGAGCGCGGGCCGGGCCGGGCCGGTGGGAGCCGCGGAAGCCCCGCGGGGCCGTTCGGAGGGGCGGGAGGAGAGGCGGGGGGGCGGCCCTGACCCCGCTCTCTGTTCCTGTTCCCGGCCCAGGGGGCGGCGGAGCCGGGCCGGGACCCGCCGGACGGATGGGCCGCGGCCGGCGAGGTGAGAAGCGGGGCGCCCCGCGCGGGGGCCCGGCGTCGCCCCGGGGTGATGCTGGGGGCGGTGGAGGCGGGGGGCGGCCCCGGGGCGGTGCCAGCGCGGCGGGCGGAGCGCGGCGGCCCGGCGGCCCGAGCGCATCATGGGGCGGCCCGGCCCGGGTGGGTCCGGCTCGGCCCGGGGGGAGCGCGGCGCTGCGGTGCTCCGGCGCGGGGGTTGGGGGGCGGCGTGGGGGCCGTGAGGTGTGGGAGAGAAGCGTGTGGGGACGGGGATGGGGGTGTGGGGTGCCGTTGGTGCCGGGGGGCGATCGGGGCGAAGGATGCTTCGGGACGTGGTGTTTGGGGCGTCCTGAGGGCTCTGGAGCCGGGAGCCGGGCTACGGCAGTGCGGGCGGCGCTGTGGGGCAGCGCGGGGGTGCGGGTCCGGGAGCAGTGGGGCAGAAAAGGCACTGTGACGGCCGTGCAGTGGGGATCCTGCTTAGTGCTGGGGCTGCCCCCGCTCTCCGTGGAGCTCTTTCTTTGGGCCTCGCAGGGGAGCATTGGTGCTGCGTGAGCCTCCAGCGTGCCCCGTGCCTCCCCCCTTCTTCGGCTAATCCCAGCTTTATGCTGCTCTGCTCGACGCCTCCTCCCGCCCAGCATATCTCTTGCAGCCATCCCACATCCGCCTGCCGCATTATGGGGTCCTATACTCATTGGCATCTTACGGGATGAATGAGTGAGTTTGCTGCTTGATGACCCCACGTTGCCTTTCTCTTACAGGCTGCCCGTGCCCCCCTGCCCGCTGGGGGCCCCCCTGCCATGGCCATTGTGCAGACGCTGCCTGTTTCCATCGAGGCCACGCCTGAGGCGGCTGCCCAGCTCCGCACTGCCGCCCGCTCGCCCCTGCCCACCCACAGCACCATGGGCAGTGTGGGCAGCCTGATCGCCAGCCGACCCTGCCACGATCGCTCCTGCCAGCCTGCTGGTGCTGGGGGTCCCTTCCGTGTGCAGGATACGCTGCTGCGAGCAAGTCCCCCGGATCCCCTGCTCCACACTTTGCCCCCTAAGAAGCCATGTTCAGCCACTGCCCATGCCTACACCAACGAAGTTTTCCATGGAGAGTGGCTGGAGGCCGCCTCTCCTGTCAGCCCCTGCAGCGATTCAGATGAGGCGCGGGATGAACAGGCTCCAAGCGGTGGCATCCGGGGGCCGCCCCCCAAGCTTGTCCCTGTCTCCGGAAAGCTAGAGGAGGTAAGGTGGGGGCGGTGCTGGGGGATCTGCTCAGTGCCCTGTGTCACACTGGGGCTGCTGGGCTTGGACAGAGGTGCTGATGCATGCAAGGAGAGAGCACATGGTCCATGTCCCTGTGGGTGGTGGTGATCTCTGGCTCCTGTTGCCCTCTTCCTCGTGTCAGGAGTGGCCATTTGTGTGTGGGAGTCTCTCTGAATCTGCTGCATGGAGCAGAGGGCACCTAGTGGTCATCTTCTTCAGAGCTGGAACACCTTGAGGTGTTGGGTGGGACCAGAATTGGTGGGGTTACTGAGTCCTTCCTGGTGCTTTGGCAGCATCCCTAGCCTCTGCAAGCCACCTCTGGAGTGTGCCTGGTCCCCAGACCCCACTCTCTCCTCTTTCCCCTTGCAGAATGTGGAGAAGACCCTGATCCGCCCCATGGCATTCAAGCCAGTGGTACCGAAAATCAGGACTGCTCCAGGGCCAGCCAACCAGGGGATACGTCCAGGGGCTGCAGCGCTGTCGGAGAGCCAGGTGAGCCTCACTCACCTGCTGGGGACCACCGGGGCCGACAAGCCTGGATCACTAAGCTGCCGCGCCAGCAGCCACTCAGGCACGCTCTCAGACTCGGGTCGCAACTCTCTGTCCAGCCTGCCCACCTACAGCACAGGCTGCAGCCAGCATACTGAGTCTGGCAACCTCCCAGCCACCCCTCACGGCCACCCTGAGCCCTCAGGTGGCTACCGCCCACCAGCCGGCCCCTCCAACTCGGACAGTGGGCGCTCATCCTCCAGCAAAAGCACGGGCTCGCTGAGTGGTCGGGGCCGGCCCTCCTCCGAAAGTGGCTCCTGTGGGCGCTCGCCGCTGCCAGGTGAGGAGGTCCTGCTGGTGCGTGAGCTGGAGGACAAGCTGCGGGAGAGGGAGGCTGAGCTGCAGCAGCTGCGGGACAGCCTGGATGAGAATGAGGTGGCCATCTGCCAGGTAAGAAGCCTGCAAGGGTGTGGAGAACCAGGGAAGCTCTCAGGGCTGGGGGTGCCCGTATGGCCCCATCATGTGGGTTTGAGTTGTGCATGCAGTGGTGTGTCTGGGGAACCCCGTGGAGGCTCTAGATGCCGACTTGGAGAGACATGGAGGTGGTGGTGTGGGATGTCCTATCTCAACGTGCACCTGTGCCCAGGTGTACGAAGAGAAGCAGCGTCGCTGTGAGCAGGAGCTGGAGGGTTTGCGGCAGCGCTGTGCAGCCCAGGTGCGACAGGCGGCCCAGCAGGCACAGCGTGGGCAGCAGGTCCTGCAGCTCCAGGTGCTGCAGCTGCAGCAGGAGAAGAAGCAGCTGCAGGAGGATTTTGCTCAGCTGCTACAGGAGCGGGAGCTGCTGGAGCGCCGCTGTGCATCCTTCCAGCGGGAGCACACTGAGCTGGGGCCACGGCTGGAGGAGACCAAGTGGGAGGTGAGCCATAGTGGGGACAACCCTGGTGTCTGGGGACAACCGTGGTGTCCCTTTTTTTTGGGGGGCAGGATGGGGCCGTGGCCAGTGCCTGAGCATCCACTGTCCACAGGTGTGCCAGAAGTCAGGTGAGATCTCGCTGCTGAAGCAGCAGCTGAAGGAGTCTCAGGCAGAACTGGCGCAGCGCGGTACAGAACTGCTGGTGCTGCGAGCACAGCTGCGCGAGGCGCGGGCCGAGCTGCAGGCAGGTGAGCAGCAGGCACGGGGGCTGCAGGAGGCTGCCCGACTGAAGGCGCTGGAGCTGGAGGTGTGCGCCAATGAACTGCAGCGACGCAAGAGCGAGGCTGACCTGTTCCGTGCCAAAGCGGGCCGTCTGGAGCAGGAGGTGGCCGGGCTGCGGGATGCCGCCCGTGGACGCTGCCCTCAGCCCAGCGAGGGCTGCCCTGAGCCTGGCGAGGAGCCGCGGGGCATGGCGGGGCTGCAGCGGCAGCTGGAGCGGCTGCGGGCAGAGGTGGCCCTGGAGAGGCAGCGTGGGCAGGAGCAGCGGGATGCCTTCGAGCAGGAGCGCAGCACGTGGCAGGGAGAGAAGGAGAGGGTGATCCGCTACCAGAAACAGCTGCAGTACAACTACATCCAGATGTACCGCCGCAACCGGCGCCTGGAGCAGCGGCTGCAGCACCTCCGGCTGCAGGGAGAGGAGCCTCCGATGGAGCCCTGCGAGACCCCCGGCCCCGATCTGCCCTTTGAGGAGATTACGGCCACCGAGATCTGAGACACTGCCTGCCCCGGCCCCTGGGATTTTGGGAGCTGTGGGGCTGAGAGCGGGAGTTCCCGTTTGCCACTGCTATGCACTGGGAGGGGGCACTGAGGACCTCAGGTGCTGCCCCCTCCCCAGCATCGTGGTGTACGTTGAGGTCGTGTTGGCTGTACCATGGCAGGGGGGTGCCTGTGAGCTGTGGGGCCGAGGGGGTGCCATGTCCCAGAGCTGGTTCCTGCTGATCCTCTTAGCAGCTAGGGATTATCGCGCTGACTTCAGCCAGGGTCACCTTGGGGAGCGTGTGTTGTCATCTCCCTCACATCCCTCTCAGCACTGTCACACAGCCACTTCCCATAGGGACAGCGTGCCATGTCCTTGCTCATGCCAGCCTTCCCTCCACCTTCCCCATCGTGTTTGTCAGGGGATTCATTTCTGTGCCATTTTAAATAACTCTATTTTTATAGGACCTACCAAAAAACACCTCCTCCCCCCTTACTCACGCCTTGCCTGGCCGTGGTCTCCTCACTCCTACCATGGGGCACATCGCCCTTAGTGCCTTCCCCATGCCCTTGTCCCTGTGTTCCCCCCCCAAAAAAGCCCAGCCATGCCCCTGTGATTCCCAGCCTGCTTGGTGTGGGGAGAGGGGCTTGGTGCCAGGAGCCAGCACTGGCCACCAGCATGGGGACACCAGGGATGGGGACAGGCTGTGTGCCTGTGGGGTCAAACCAAAGGAAGAGTCTGGCCGTACCCAGCTCTGGCTTGCTCGCCCCTGGCTGCTGGGGGGCGTTGTATTTTTGTACTTTTATTTCTGTTGTGTCCCACTTCCAGAGCCCGGCTTGCCCTCTTACCACACGGATACACTGATTAAAGACAAGCCCCTGGCTGTGTTTTTCAGGGCAGTGTCCGTGTATCTGTAGCAGGGTCGGGACTGCCTGCCTTCCTCTCTTATCCCAAACATGCCTCCATCTCAGTCCCATTTTGGGCTGCCCCTCTGTGCACATGGGTCCCTTTGTCCCTGCTGACTGAGACCAGCTGCAGCTCAGTGCAGAGCGAGCCAGCTCCATGGGGGTGTGGGATGGCTCCTGGGGAGGCGCGGTGTCACTCCGGGGGGACAGCAGGCACCCGCACCACCAGCTCCATGGGCTCCTTGGCTTTGTTGCGGTAGGCCTGGCGGATGATGTCCACAGCACGCTGGTGCGTGACATTCTGTAGGCTCTCCCCATCTACTGACACCAGCTCGTGCCCTGCCTGGTGCCAGGAGGAAAGGTATGAGATGCACTGCAGGAGGGCTCAGTGATGAAGGGACGAGGGGCTGGGTCCCCCAGAGCTACCCCCTACCTTGAGGACTCCGCTGAGGAAAGCGGCCCCCCCAGGGAAGATCTTCTCAATCTTCACCATCGGCTGTGCCCGTGACTCAATACCACCAGAGATGCTGATCCCTGCAATGGAACCACGGTGTCTTCAGACCTGACATGGGGACGCCCATGGCATCCCCATCCCTGGGCTGCGCAGCCTCTCTCTGCCCCATTTTGCTAGGTCCTAAGCAAATGCAACTGGCAGAGCTCAATGTTTCGTCCATGTGCTTAACCTCCCTTGTTGAGGGGGTCCCAACCATCCCAAAAGTGCTGGTGCCCAGAAGGCCCTCACTCACCCAGTGAATGCTTCAGCTTGGACAAGGTGACAGTCAGCAGCCGCTCTTCCTCCTCCTCTTCCTCCCTGGGGCCATTGGCGAGTGGCACAGCCCCCCTCTCACCTCCCAGTGTGAGGGGAGCCCGTACTCTCCGGGGCTTCACCGACACCGAGCAGCGCCCATCCTGGGGCTGGGGGCTGTGCGGGGGCTCAGCCAGCAGCCAGTTGGGGGGCCTGGGGCTCAGGGTGGGTGGGGGACCACCGGTGTAGGTGTAGGCATCCACTGGCACGTCAGGGAGTGGGGTGTAGGTGCGGGGGTGCAGCCGGCGAGGGCTTGGGGAGGCCCTCAGCCGGGCTGGGCTCTGTGGCAGTCCCTCGACTTCCTCTGGTTCAGGGGCCCCCGCTGGCTTCAGCAGGAACCCTCCGCGGTAATCTGCAGTGAGAGAGGCTCAGAAGAGGGGCAGCACACTTGGCACCACCCCATCGGAGCCCAGAACCCCTCTTTCTGGAGTAAACCCTCCTTCCTTCGAGCCCCCCGCCCCAAATTGCCTCCGTATCCCCCCTGTTCAAGGGCACGCACCAGGCACAGGCGTGATGAGGTGTCGCTTGGGGGGGACATCATGGTGGGCTGGGCGCAGGGCAGGCGAGCGCACTGCAGGAGGGGAACAGTGGGGTCAGCGTGGTGCCCTCCCACTCTGCCCCCCCAGCTCCATGCTGGGCTCTACCTGAGCGGCTCTTGAGGGCATCAAAAGCCTCCAGCTCCAGTGGCATCACCATGCTGTCAAAACGCCCCAGATCTGTTGGGGCCACCACACTCCTGTAAGGACAAACGGGGCTCACACTGTGGTGTGAACAGAGCGCACGCAGGGCTCCAATCCATCCCAGTGGCACCCATGTGCCCACCTGACGTCCCGCAGCAGCAGCACCTTCTCGGGCCTGTCCAGGATAGCGAGCAGTGGCCGCACCAGGTCCTCCACGCCGCCCTCATGCAGGTACTGCAGGCATGGAGCGGGTGTCAGCCCCAAACCAGTGCCCCAGTTTACCTCCCGGTGATGCCCATGGTTCCATACCCGAGTGCAGTGGCGGAGCACGGCCGTCACCTCATCGGGGCTGAGCAGCCGGGCTGCTGTGTCCTGGATAAGCGTAAGCCGTGCCTCAGGATCACCACCGTCAGGCTGTGGAGTGCCCGGGCTGCAGAATGGGGCTGGGATGGGGCCACGGCGGCTTTTCTCTGGGGGACAGAGCAGAGGGTGGCCAGTGGGGCAGGGGCACCCTGTGCCCACTGCCCTATACCAGCCCCAAACCCACATGCAAGCTTGATTCATGCCGAACTCACTCACAAAGCACTGGAAGTGGGGACCCCTGGTGCCCACCCCTTGCTTAGCCACACCATGCAAGGACAGGCACATGCAGGACTCCCCCACAACCACCCCCATTACCCCGCTTCAGGCTCCGGATGACAAACTTCTGCACAGCACCTACTGCAGGGGAGATGGAGATGGGTGAGCAACTGGGACAGCGGTGAAATTGCACACACAGGGACCCCCACCCCACAGCCCCGTCTCCCATCAGTGGAGCTCTGCGCCTGGCCCCTGACCCCATCCCAGTACCTCTGTCCCCATCAGGACGCCCCGGGGACTTGGTGCGTGCCCAGCGCTCGGAGCTGGGGGGCTCGGGGCTGGGGGGTGCCCAGCTCTGGCTGCTGGTGCGGCCACCCTTGAAGAAAAGGTTGACGAGGGTCTTGGAGCGGTGCAGCCCGGGAGGAGCCCCCTGTGACCCCTGTCCCTCCGGCTTTTTCTTCCGCTTCTCCTCTGGGAACAGAGCAGGAGGTTGGGATGCACCAGGGGAAACATCCCAAATAGGTTTTGGGGCTGGGGGTTAATGGGTGCCGAATTCCTACCAGCCACAGTGAGGTCGCTCTGGGAACGTGTGATGGGCTGCCGGGGCCGGCTCAGCGCCAACAGCAGCGCCGTTTTGGGGGAGTGGGAGAAGGTGCGGCGCGGGTGGGTGCCGGGGGGCTCACGGGCACCCTGGCCTCGGATGGCCGTGTCCCGCAGCAGCTCTGGGGGCCGCACCGTGCGCCGTGTTTCCTGCAGCCCCTCAGTGGCTGGTTCAGTCTGCATGGCCCGTTCAGCACGATCCCGTGCCCAGCCCCGCCGCGGCCCGTCCTCTGTGGAGATGGCCACGTCCACTGTGCGGGTGGGTGGCCCAGGGGTCACCGTCCCCAGCCCATTCACTGTTCCTGGCGGTGGCCCCGAGGAGTATGAGGAGATGGAGGAGCTGGTCTCCGAGGTCTGAGAGAGCTGTTGCAGCTGCCCGTTGGTCACTGCAAGGCATGGCAGGGACAGGCGGTGACACACCAGGGGACACAGGGTGGCACACCAGGGGGGCATGGGGTGGCTCAGCAGGGAACACAGGAGCTTTGCATCCCTCAAGGACAGGGACATGGGGACCATAGGGTCACAGGAATGGCAGGCTACTAGCATTGCAAAGAGAGGGGGGAATATGGGACCACAGGGCTGCGGGACATGGCACAGAGATTTTTGTGTCCCTGGGGATTTCATGTCCCCTGAAGGAATGGGGGTGAGTGGGACTGCAGAGATGCTGGCCGTGGCACATGTTCCCTCCCTGGACAGAGGACACACATGATCCCATGGCACACAGACCTTCTCCCTCCCCACTGGGACCCTCTGGACATCTTTGCACTGAGGGTCCCAGTCCTGCCATGTACCCCCCCAGTACCCAAGTGACACGGTCCTTACAGCGGCTGAGCCAGCAGTACTCGGCCACCAGCTCCTTGTAGGCAGGGAAGCGGCCGGTCTCCTACACACAGGGAAAAGACAAGGGGTCAGCGCGTGCCGGCCGAACCCGATCCGGGTGCCAGCCATGAATAATGCATCCCCCTCCCACCAGCCATGAAACCCAAGCGGCTCACAGCCGTGCCAACCCCCCCGGGAACTGGGATGTGCTGGGACAGTGCCAACATGGGGGCTCGCTGACCCCACAGGGCTGGGCACGGGTACCTTGATGGTAAGCATGATGTGGGTCTGCCCCTTGAGCACCTCCACCGCCTTGCTATGGCTTATGTCTTCGAACTTGACTCCGTTGGCTGCAAGGACTTGGTCACCCACCCGAATGCCATTCTGCTCCGCCAGCCCCCCGGGGTCTACCCTAGGTTGACAGAAGGACAGGCTGGGGATGGAGCCCCTAACATTCTGTCCAGACAGCCCTGTGTTCCATCATCAAAAGTCTCGGTCCCCCAGCACCCAATGTGACGATGCCCCAACACCCAACATAGTGGAACCCTGACACCCAATGAGATGATAACCCAGCACCCAATGCAGTGATGTCCCAGCACCCAACATGGTGATACCCCAACACCCAATGTGGTGATGCTCCAACATCCAACGTGGTGATGTCCCAGCATCAGTCAGGGAGGTAAGCTCAGCCCCAAAATGGTCACAGCAGAAACTGAGTGCTGCGTCCCCTGGTGCCCCCCAGGATGAGGGCACATGAGCAGCCATACTTGGAGACGTAGATGCCAAGGCCGAACTCCCGACCTCCGCGGATATTGAAGCCCAGGCAGTAATCGTCAGAGGTGGTGTAGAGGTGGACGATGCGCCGCAGACCATCCTCAGAGCCACTTTCTGATGGCGTTGAGCCACTCTTCTCCACCACCAGGCGCCTGTTCACCACATCCACCCTGGGGCATGGACACAGCATTGGGGGGAGGCATCTCTTGTCACCCAGTGGGACACTGATGTCACTCAGTAGAGTGAGAGTCTCTCACCTCTGGGCCCCTACTTGCCCTCCAGCATCCCCCACTGAGCCTCCCCATTCCATGGGACTGGGTTTGGGGTGTGGGTGTCCTGCTCACCAGGCTGTCTTCTCCTTGGAGAACTTGATGCCCGGCACACGGCCCATCCGCCGGACCACCATGCGGAGGCGGTTGTTGCCAGTGAGGACCTTGACGGCACTGCTCATGGTGATGTTCTCTAGGCTCACACTGTTCACCTCCGTGATCTTGTCCCCCACGCACAGCCCGGCCTGCTCTGCAAGGGGCAAGCAGCTCAGTTTGGCACCTGATCTAAAACCTCTGACCTTGCTGGGTTCCCTGTTCCCAAGCAGTTTCTGTCCCAGAGTGGGTTGACCTGTCCCCAGGTAGGTTGATCTGCTCCCTCACGTATATCCCCAATCTCATCCCAACCCAGAGGGAAAAAGCAGCACAAGGTGGGTGCAGATGATGACATGAAAGTCGGTGTCACCACCGTGGCACCATGTCCCTGATAGCTCCCCGGTGTCCTGGTGGCACGTATCTGCCCCTTGCTCGGTGCCACCTACCGGCAGCGCTGCCCTCTTCTACTTTGCTCACGAAGATGCCCAGCCCATGCTCGGAGCCACCACGGACACTAAAGCCCAGCTTGCCATCCGTGCTCTTCTCCACCGTGATGGCATTGATGACATCGCTCTCATTGCTGCTGGCTGTAGGGACAGACGTGTCACCGGGTCAGACTTGTGCTGGGGGACACAGCCATCCCTAGGCAGGGACAGCTGTCCGGTTGGGTGCCCACGTACCTTCAATAGGGGAGTTGATGAGGATGACGCGCCCCATGGGGGACGTGGCGCGGGCGCTGCGGGTGACCCCGTTGAGCAGGCGGCTCTGCTTGCTGAGCAGGCAGCGGGGCGCCAGGCTGACCTCGCTGCTGGAGCTCCGCGACCGCCCGGCCGCCGTCATCTCCGCGTCCTCCCAGCCCTGGGCCATGGCGGCGGCCGAGCGGTACGACCGCGGCTCGCCGGGTGCTCACGGGGCCGGGGCTGCCCGCCAGCCGGGGGAGACCGTGGCACCGTCCCGCAGCACATGCCCAGGTTGGGACGCGATCCTCAGCAGCGCAGCGCTGGGGCCGGCTGGGGGGCAGCAGGAGGGGTCCCGGCGGCACAGCCTGTGGGGCGACAGAGAGCGGTACGGTGTGACCTCCCCTGCTGCCCAGATGCCCCGACTTGCCGCATGCCAGTGGGATCGCCGGTGGCACCGCGGGGACCTCAGCCTCAGGATGCGGATTTGCACGGAGCCCCCTCGCCCCCCACAACCCCACGAATCGCCCCGTTCCCGGGGGAAGGGCGGGGGGGGGGAGGGGGGAGGATTTTCCCAGCGCCCCCCGCTCGCCTCCGCCTGACCTCCATAAATAAGTGATGCCTCCTCTGCGTGCGTCCCCTCCGCGGTGTCCCCCGGTGTCGCCCGGCAGCCCCCCCCTCCCAAGGGCCACCCCTCCGCGCTCCAGCGGCGCTCCCCCTCGACGGGGCGCCCGGCGCTGGGGTCCCCATGCCACCTCCGTCCCCCCCTCCCCGTGCCCTCCTCACCTGTCCCCATGGTGCCACCTGCGAAAGAGACACCGCTCGGCGCGGGGGGGATGGAGAGGACGCGGGGGGGGGAGACAGCAGCACCGCCTCCCTTCCGTCGGTGCCAGCGGAGATTGGCTGTCCCGGCGGTGTGCCGGCCGTGGGAGCTGTCACTCAGGTGGCCGGGGCTGGCGCTGGGCGCGGGGGGAGCCCCGTGTCACACCCCCCTCCTCCCGTGGGATAAGTCCCCCCCCGCGGAGCCGCGCGCGGAGCAGAACACCGCGCGAGGGTGGATTGAGGCACGAGATGGGGCGTGGGAGTGCCCCTCCCCCGGTCCGAACGGTGCCAGCCGGTGTCGCCCCATCCCCCCCGCCCCGGGGCTGGCCGTGACCAACGGCAGGGCTGGCGCCGGCCACGCGAACCCGACACCGCGCCGGTTTCAGGTGATGCGCGGCAGCGGGGGAGGAGGGGGGAGATGGGGAGGGGCGCGCGGGCCGGAGGTCCCGACGGCGCTCCTGATTGGACACCTGCAGCCCACGCGCAGCCGCGAACGCGCGTGTGCCCCGCGCGCGCAAAGGGATACGGCCGTGCGCACGAGGCGGCTCGTCCCCGCGCACACGGGCGCCGTGCCACGCGTGGGCGCGCGGAAACACGCCCAAATGCACACATACACACGCACCCACACGCGTGACCGCGCACGCCCACGTGACCGCGCCCACGTGACCGCGCCCGCCTGAGCTCCCCCACGCAGGACTGCCCCGCGTTCATCCCCACGCGCGCCCCCCGCCCCGTGGCCGTGCCGCGCCGCACGTAGCTCCGCATGGCGCAGATGGCCCCGCTCAGCCTCGGCCGCCTCCGCCGCGGCCCCCCCCGCGCCCCCACCCCCGGCGTGAGGCGGCCCCGTGACGGGCGCGGACGTCATCGGGGCGGAGCGGCGCGGAGCCGAGCGGGCGCTGCCCGGAGCCGTGAGTGTCGGCGGGGAGCGGGGGCCGGGGGGGTCACCCGGCGGGGGTGGCGGGGATAGCGGTCCGAACCGCCGAGCCCCGGGGAGGCTGCACGACGGGTGGGAGCGGGACCGGCGCGGGGCTTTTCTGGGAAGCGGCTCTGGAGCTGCGTGTCACCGCATCCCCCTGTGCTCCCCCCCCCCTTCGCAGAGGATGCCCCCCACGCTGCCCGGCACCATCGACATCCGCGAGCCCCGCTGGGACCAGAGCACGTTCCAGGGCCGAGCCAAGCACTTCTTCACCGTCACCGACCCCCGCAACCTGCTGCTGTCGGGGGCGGCCCTAGACGAGGCGCGCCGCCTGGTGCTGGCCTACAGGTACGGGACGGGGTGTCCCACCCGCGCGGGACAGCGGTGGGATCTGTGCCACAGCTGTGCGCTCCCCGCAGGGCGGGCACGGTGCCCCCGGGGCTGACTGAGGATGAGCTGTGGCGTGCCAAGTACATCTATGATTCCGCCTTCCACCCCGACACGGGCGAGAAGATGCTGCTCATCGGGCGCATGTCGGCCCAGGTGCCCATGAACATGACCATCACCGGCTGCATGCTGACCTTCTATAGGTACCGGCCCCCTCCCCATCCCCAGCACCCCCAGCTGCCTGTGTCCCCCCCTGCCATGGACGCCCCCCAACGATGCCGGTGCCCGTAGGACCACGCCGGCTGTGGTGTTTTGGCAGTGGGTCAACCAGTCTTTCAATGCCATCGTAAACTACACCAACCGCAGCGGGGATGCCCCCATCACCCCCAGGTGAGTTTCCACGGCACGGTGGGACATTCATCCATGGGGTGGTAGGATGTGGGTGTCACCTCCTGCCTTTGCAGCCAGCTGGGGATGGCCTACGTGAGCGCAACCAGTGGGGCAGTTGTTACGGCACTGGGGCTCAAGTCCCTCACCAAGGTAAGGGTGTTCTGGGTGTTTGGGGACAGCCAGCTGTGTCCCCAAAGCCCCTCTGTGACCTGCTCCCTGCTCCCCTCCCAGCACCTGCCAGCCATCATTGGACGCTACGTGCCTTTTGCGGCCGTGGCTGCTGCCAACTGCATCAACATCCCGCTGATGAGACAGAGGTGCGTGCCCAGCTGCAGGGGGGGACATGGGGACACTGTGGGGAGCAGTACCTGTGCTCCTGTAAAGGCTTTCTTGGGCCCCATACACCAAAAGGCTGGTTTGGGGGTACCAGCACCTGCTTCTGTCCCAAGAGCTGTGAGTTAATGCCAGCATCCCTGGGTGCACACATGGAGTCCAGCCAAGAGCCCCAGCATATCACATAGTGCATGGGTGGGGGACATGGAAGCACACCGACCTCCCTCCTTGCTGTGCCCCTGACCCCCTTCATCCCTGCTGTCCTTACAGGGAGCTCAAAGTGGGGATCCCCATCACAGATGAGAATGGGAACCGCCTGGGTGAGTCCACGGCAGCCGCCCAGAAGGCCATCTTCCAGGTGGTGGTGTCCCGCATCGGGATGGCAGCCCCAGCCATGGGTGAGTGCCCAGCCCCAGCCCTGGCCATGTGAGTCAGGTCCCATGGAGCTCATTTCCTTCTCCTTTGCCCCAGCCATCCCCCCGGTGATCATGAATGTGCTGGAGAAGAGAGCCTTCCTGAAGGTACGGGGCAGGAGAGTGGGCATAGGGCACTGTGCTGGCACCCACTGGCACCCTGCAGGGGAACAGCACCTGCCCATCCCACTGACACCAAACTGTCCCCTACAGAGGTACCCGTACCTGAATGCTCCCCTTCAGGTTGGCCTGGTGGGACTCTGGTAAGTGACCCCAGGGTACCCCATCCCAGGGAGGTGGGATGAGGGTGATGCCCTCTGTGCCAGGAGCAGGTTTGCATTTGGTAGGACAGATGAAGCCTCAGCATCCTTGTTGGCCCCACACTGGGGATTGAGGTCTGGGACTGGGAGGGTCCCTCCTCATCTCCTGGCTGCCCCCACTGCTCTCCTTGTCTTCTCTATGCAGCTTGGTGTTTGCAACCCCTCTGTGCTGCGCACTCTTCCCACAGAAGAGGTAAGGATGGGCATTTTGCCCAACTCTCCAGAGGTGCTTTTGCTTCTTTTAAGTCAAAAGCTTGCAAATGCCTGTCCCCCCCCCCCCAACACTCCATGTTTCTTGGCAGCTCGATGCAGGTGAGCCACCTGGAGCCCAGCGTCCAAGCTCAGATCCGAGAGGTGGACCCACAGCTGCACACTGTCTACTTCAACAAGGGGCTGTGAGCATGGGGCCGCTGCATCGCTGAGCTCAGAGCGTCCCAAGGATGCAGCTGCTGCCCTGTCCCCGGGTGCTTGGGTATAGCTGAGCCCCTGAACCCACCGGGCTCCCATCCTAGCACCTCCCCTGAGCTGTGCTTTGCTGCTCTCCCTTCCCCTCATGGGGCTGTCCTGAGGGCCACCAGCCTGGTGCCAGGAAGAGGGGATATTTCCCTGGTGGCACAAGGCTAGCAGCAGCAGGATTGGGCACTGGGCATGCGGTGCTTCATGAGGGTGGGGGACAAAGAGGCCCCGTGTGCTGCTGCCATCCTCCTGCTGTGCTGCACGTTGTGGGTACACCCAAGTGTCCCAATCTTGGGCAATATCATGGGGTGGCTGTGCTGCTGGTGTTCCTGCAAGCTCCGACCCACATCGTACCAGGTGTCTCCACTCCTGGCTGTCCCCCAGCGTGTTTCCCATACCCAGTGTGTATGTGGCTGTGTTCAGGCTGTGTCCCATGGCATCCCCCAGGCTAGAGCCTCAGATGGATGTCCCTACCCTTGGGCATGGCATCCAGAGAACACAACCCCCCAGAAGCCAGGGATAAACACTATGAGATATACAGTGCAGTGGGGGAGCCGCTCCAGCCTGGGTGTGTGTGCACAGCTCCCCATGCGCTCTGCTCTGTGCTGATCCGGGCTGTAATCTGGCTTTCCCCGGAGCAAATGGCACATTTTAATCTCAGCAGTCTCCATTTTATTCCCTTTAATGCCGCCTTTGCTCAAGGCTCGACTCCCGCGTGGTTTCCTCCATGGACCTTTTCGTATGGCTTTAAGCACATCACTGTTTCCTCTGGTTATTTTTGTAATACATACTCCATATCTGTATCTACCAAATAATAAAGACAGGTTGTTTATACAAAAGCAGAGAGAAAGTCCCTTGCTTACCACTCCCCATGCCATGGAAAGGGGCTGGGGGCTGCCACAGGGACGCTATGGGATGGATGCTCAGCACAGACCATGCAGCACCCATTAGGGATGCAGGAGCAGCCCCCACTTCCCCCAGCCCCAGCATATTGCACATATCTCCCCCGAGCCAGCCATCGGTGGCTTATAAATAATGCAGCCCCTCGCCGTGCAATAAGGGCTTGTCAATTGCTGTTCTGCTCTCATAAATTAAAGATGAAAAGGTACAAGGCTCTTGCCAGAAAAATGAAGACAAATTTTTAATAGCTTGCCAAGACGCGGGGAGAGAGAGAGCGCTCGGGAAAAATGAATTACGTTTTTATTATGTGTTTTATTGTGGTGTAATTGAACGGGATTAGCTGAGAATACAATATATTTCCAGGGCAGAGCAAAGAAAACAAAAATAATGATGACACTTCTCCCCCCCCCTCCCAACCTGTGCAGGGACAGCTCCTGCTGCTCTCGGAGCAGCAGATGTGGGGCTATGGATGGTGACACGCTGCAGGTGGCACCACTGCCACCCTGGTGACACGGTCCTATCCCACAGGTCTCAGTGCTGGGGCTATCAGGATCGGGGGAGTAGGGGGGTGGGCATCGATTGCTCCCTGGCATTGTTAATGAGCCGCCCAACCACAGGCTTTAACCTTGCCCATAATGAGGGCGAGCGGCAGCAATCCCTCCCGCTCCCCCAGCCTTAATGAGCTAATCAATACTTGTTCTCAGCTTAATTTCCAGCTAATTGCTCTTTAATGACGCCTGGAAATGGGCTGCCCGCTGGCAGGCTCCCACCTCCCCACAGAGCATCCCTGGGGTAAGGGGTGCCGGGTGGGGGTCACCTTCCCCGGCTGCATCCCCCAACCCCTATTAGAGGGGACACGACGCTGTACCCTTGGGGGGAGTGTCCCCAGGGTGGTCGCATGATGGGGGTGCTTTGAGGTGAAGAGAGGTGTGGGGGGGCCGTGTACCTGCGGGGACAGGGTCAGGCTGTGACGGCAAGGGGACGCAGACGAGGCCAGCAGTGCCCTGGAGGTGGCAGCAGAGACCCCATAGCCTGTCCCCACAGCTTGAAGAACAGCGTCAGCCCCCAGGGGCAAACGTTCAGGCCACCAAACACAAGGGACCCCCCCAACACCCTGACTGCAGCTCGTATGGGATGGGGCGCCCTGTAGCAAAATGGGGACAGAGTTCCCAGTCCAGGTCCCCAGATGCCAGCCAGAAATGGCCCTTGGTGGAAGTGCTGGAAGTGACTTTGCTGTGGGGCTGGACACACTGGTGGCAAGGAGAGCACCAGCACTAGGCTGGGAAAAGCCACAGCCATGGGCAGTGCTATTTTCATGGGAGTGGGATTGCAGAACACGGCCCCCTCACCCCAACTTCATAGGGCTACACCCCATTGCAGAACCTGGCTGAGCTCCTGCTTGCTCTGTGCCTGGGGTTGGGGGGAGCCTGGTATGTGGCAGGGGGGTGGGAACTGTGCTCCTGACCCCAAGGTGTCAAAGCTGGCAGGGGGATGCTGAGCAGAACGCTTGGGGAGAGGGCAGTCCCCACAGCCCCCAAGAGCTGGGTGACCCACAGAGGTGGCGGACTGCAGAGCGCCCAGTGACAGAGTGTCCCTCACCACCCAGACAGTGCTGCTGGGGGCCCCTTGGGAAACCTGCATCCCTCCTGCACACAGCTGCAGCCGCTTCCCCAAGAATTTGCTGACGGGTTTGTTCTGGGCAGGAATTTGCTGTGGGGAAACCTGAGCCTGGTGGTGTGGGCCCTGCTTGGCACATGGGGTGGGGCCTCATCCCCAACAGGGTCCTGGGAGATGCAGCTGGGACCCCACTGAGACACACGTGGAGCCAGGGTCAGAGTGGCAGAAAGCAGAGATGGGCATTGAGCTGAAACACAGGAGATTCGAGTTATGATTAGAATCAGCCTTCATGCTCTGAGAGCCATCCGGCGGGCCAGCAGCCCTGCTGACACGTGCTCTGCCCTGGGCGTCACGCAGCCTTCCGCTCTGCCAGAACTGACACAGCGTTGAGTCATCTGGCCCACGGCCTCTTTTCCAGGGTGGGATTATGCTCGTCAGCCTCAGCCCATTGGAATCAGCCAGGACATCAGCCCAGGGCATGGCCGGGGCAACCTGGGATGGGCATGGATGTAGTGATGGGTTCACATGTTAGAACCCAGGAGGGATGCCACGGCTGAGGGAGCATCTCAGGGGACCATCATTGGGGGAAATAGTGATGAGAGCAGGTGGAGCCTTCCCACAGCTCTGAGATGAGCTATGTAATGAGGTACACTGACTGAACCAGAGCACAGCTCCTCATTAAGCACAGGTTAGATCTCCCACCCCCCTAATTCAGAACTGCTGCTATTTATTAGCACATTCAACAGTCTCATTAAGCAGGAGGTTTAATTACCTGCCAGGCTGGGGCTCCATCTTTTTCCCAGGGCTGAGCTAAGCTGTTTCCAGGTGCTGGGTTGGGCAAGGGCAGTACTGGATATAAGGATGTCCCAGCTGAGAGGGAGGGGGCTGGCACAATTCCTCCCAGCTCTGTCTCTCCAAAATGCTCCTGGAGGTGCACAGAGTGGTACCTCAGCCTCCCAGCTCCTAAAGCAGCCTCCGCAGTGCTCCTCCAGCCTCAGCTGCCCCAAATCCCATAGCTCCCAGCTCAGCCATGGGGCTGGGGGCCACCAAAGGGGAAGCAGAACCAGCAGGAAGCCCCTCGGCAGCACAAAGCCTCATGCATTTTCCATCCTTAGCCCCGGCCAGATTTGCAGCATGCCTGAACGAAAGCTCCGGAGCCCAGAGTGGATTTGCAATGGGGTTTTGGAAAGCAAAAGCAGATTTTTGTGGTGTGGAGAAAGAAACCAGATCCACTGAGGGGTCCTGGGATGGCTTTGGCTTTGCAGATTTGCCATAGAAGCAAATCCCACAAATTCTTTGCGGTGGGGGGCTGCAGGCTTCCCCAGCACAGCGCTTATGCTCAGCCTAGGACAGAGGCGGGTGCCCCCATAGATCCCACCTGGGGAAACTGAGGCACGGGGGCTCTGGGAGCTGCGCGTTGCTGATGGATGGAAGATCCCGGCCCGGCACCCGGCAGGGAAGGGGTGGCAGTCAGCGCGGGGCCCGTCCGGAGCTGGGCCTGAGCCCGCGGGGGGCGTGGGGACTGGCGTGGCGCTGACATCACGGCCGGTGGCAGCGGAGCCCCGCGCCGCGCTGCTGCCAAAGCCATTGTGCATCGCAGCCGTCGGCGGGGCCCGCACCGCGCTCCGGTAAGTGCTGTCGCGAGCGGGACCCTCACCCCGGGACAACCCTCGTAGAGATTCAGGATAGCATTGCATTGTCCGCCCCTTTCCTGGCCCCTTTTCCTGGGGTTGGAGCTTTTCTCCCTGCAATCCGGGGACAGGGAGGGAGGGCAAGCAGGACCCCCCTCTGCCCCTTTTCCCCCGCTGCTTGGGGGTCTCCAGTTAACGGGGCAGAGCTCTGCTCCCCTTCTGGGATCCGGGGAGTAACAAATCCCTGTCAGGCTGGCTTTGGGCAGCCTTAGTCCGGCTCCTGTGGGGCTATCAGGGGGCTGAAGCCCTGCCGGGAGCGTGGGGGCTCCCAGAAGGGGGTCAGGTGTGGCCCCCCATGCCGGATTTTACCTCTCAGCCTCCACTTGCTGCAGGGCAGATGGCTGTGACTTCACTCTGCCCCTCCAGCACAGGAGGTGAAAGCTGGGGGCTGGGGTAAGGCACAGCTCATATGGACCTGCACATCCTCCTCAGCAAAGATGGGATGTCTGAGGGCCGATCGGCCCCTCTGCTTGCTGCGGGAGAGGGGTTAACATAGGCTGGGGGGTGGGAACCCCATTGTTCTCAGTTGTGCACCGAGTTCCCTGGTGCTCAGCCACCAGTGTGATAACTGTGGAATTTGCAGAGCTTTCCTGGTGTGGCTAGATGTGGGGCTCAGAGCAGGGAGGGGAGGACAAAAGCCAGGCATGAGTGGGAGCATCCTCCTGGCTCAGCTCCCCTGGGCTGGCTGCCTCCTGCATGGAAAGAGCCCTTCGTCTGCTCCTCTAGGCAGTGATGGAGGGAAAAATCCTCGTGACTTTTGAGGAGAGGTGAGAAAAGGAGAGGGGTGCCTGGCTCCAGAGCTGCTCCCTGAGAGGAGCAGAGCACAAAGCAGTCAGGAGAATATGAGGCAGCCCCTCAAGTGGGATTGCAACAGGCTGGGCTCTACCTGCTAGGGGAGAAAGCTGAAGCCTGTGGGTATGGGTCAGCATCTAGTCAGGGCAGCGAATGAGGGGGTTGCACGGCAGCACATTTTGGGGGTGGGAGCCGCTTTCGTAGCGTGGTAGGAGGCAGAGGGCCCCAAGATGTGGCGCATCACACAGTGCTGCTATCACATGTTCTCTTCCTTGCAGATCGCGATGGCCGCTTGGCTCTGACCCATCCAAATCTCCACCCGTGTGATGCTGGAACCGAGCTCTGGGAGCGGCCACGAGGATGCCTGAGGTGCTGAGCTCCTCCTGCCTGCTGCTCTCCCTGCTCACCCTGCACTGGGCTTGTCTCCAGCCGGGCCGAGCTTTCCCCAGCAGCGCCGAGTACCTGCAGCGGGGCTGGCAGCGGCTGCTGGAGGAGGGTGAGGGCTGCGCCCAGTGCCGGCCGGAGGAGTGCCCGGTGCCGCGCGGCTGCCTGGCCGGCACGGTGCAGGATGCCTGTGACTGCTGCTGGGAGTGTGCCAACCTGGAGGGACAGATCTGCGACCTGGACAACACCAACCACTTCTATGGCAAATGCGGGGAGCACCTGGAATGCCAGCTGGAGGCTGGAGACCTGCAGCGCGGTGAGGTGCCCGAGCCCCAGTGTGCCTGCCTCTCGCACCAGGCGCTGTGCGGCTCCGACGGGCGCACCTACCCCCAGATCTGCCGCTTCCTCGAGTCTGCCCGTGCCCACCCCGATGCCAACCTCACCGTGGTCCATGAGGGTCCCTGCGAGGCAGGTAGTGCGTGGGGAGAGGGAGCGCAAGGATGGGAGGTTGGCTTCAACATTTCAACCAGAGGCCCCTCTGCAAGTGGGTCTGGTGCAGGGGGAGGCTGTGCCAAGTCGGCTCGGGATTTATGGGAGGCGGTGAGCGCTGCTGGCTGGGGCAGAGCCAGGCGTCGTTAGCGTGCTTTTGGCTGCAGCGTGGCTGGAGTGTGGCTGGGGCCAAGGAACGCCCCAGGAATGTGGCTCCTTCGTGGAAAGCTGGGCCAGGTCAGGGGGCTGCACTGCTTCCATCTCCCATTTGAAGCCATGTGTGTGACTATGGGCTTGGGACAACCCACTGACACCGCTCGCTGCAGCTCAAGGAGGGGATCGGGGTTGACTTTGTTTTCTGTATCTCGTGGTATCTTTGAGTTTTTTCCCTCTTGGCTACCCGTAAGAGCTGGGACAGGCACAGGGAGAGGAGAGGTTTGTGGCCAAAATAGGAGACCCAAAGGCTGCATCACAGGGGAACTCCTTGTGCAGGTGGGGGAAGTGAGGCTGGGAGGGATTGGAGCCCTCCATGGGTCACTGGGGAGCTGGGGAGTGACCTTCTGCAAGTGTGGGTGAGGAGAGGGGAATGGGAAGGGTCTTGGCATCGCTACCAGAGCCTGATACCCTCAGCCAGTATGCTTCCCTGTCTCCTCCCCATCTTCCATTCCCAGAGCCTCAAATCACCTCCCCTCCTTATGATGTGTGGAATGTCACTGGCCAGGATGTCATCTTCGGCTGTGAGGTCTTCGCCTACCCCATGGCATCCATCGAGTGGAGGAAGGATGGCACAGAGATGCTGCTGCCAGGAGATGACCCGCACATCTCTGTCCAGGTGAGTGGTTGGCATAGGGGATGGTGACCGAGATGTGAAAACATCTCTGGTCATTGCTGAACATGCATACATGGGACTGCACAGGGGGATCAGCCTGGTTCATCTCTGCTTACCCTGCATGCATCCTGCCTGTGGCCAGCCCCAAATATAGCTCTCTTGGGTCGCACCCAGCTATTATAGGGTGTGGATGGAGGCATCCTGCATCCCTGGCCACTGCACTGAAATAGCTGCCTGCAAACACAGCTGCAGCACAGCTGGGGCCGGAGGAGGCTGTTTCTTGCTGGGGACAAACAGGACATAGCATGCTTGGCCCCAGGGAGCTTAGGGCTGGCTCCCACCCCAGAGCAGTACTTAATAGGGTAAAGAGAGCTTCTCCACATCTCACTCCTCACCACCCCAAATGGTCATCCCACGGGGGTTCCATCACCCAGGGGCTCACTGCTGTCTCTCCCTTCGCAGTTCAGAGGTGGCCCCCAGAAGTACGAGGTGACTGGCTGGCTGCAGATCCAGGGCGTGCGGGTGACGGATGAGGGCACGTACCGCTGCTTCGCCAGGAACAGGGTTGGGGCTGTGATGGCAGTGGCCAGCCTGACTGTCCTCACTCCGGGTGAGCAGTGGGAGGGGACGTTTGGGCAGGGCACTGGCTTTCAAGGGTGGCAGTGTCACAGAGTCCCCGTGCTGCTGTTTCAGACCAGCTCAACCTGACGGGCTTGTCCCTGCCAGAACCCCGTGCCGTGCCTGAGGACTACGTGGACAGCGAGGAGGAGTACTACTAGCCCAGCTGCAGAGCTGGCACTGGGCAGCACTCGCCCCATGGTGCTTTGGGGTCAGGGATGGATCCAGAGCAAACACCCCCAGCCCTGAACAACTCTCTGAACAACTCTGTTTTGGGCTGGAGACACAGAATCACAGAATGGCCTGGATTGGAAGGGACCTCAAGGATCATGAATCTCCAACCCTCTGCCACATGCAGGGCCACCAACCTCCCCATTTAATACTAGACCAGGTTGCCCAGGGCCCCATCCAACCTGGCCTTGAACACCTTCAGGGATGGGGCATCCACAACCTCTCTGGGCAGCCTGTTCCATATGACCATGTGGCATGTGTGTCACCCTCAGGCAGGGACACCCAGGAGCTTGCTGCCAAAATGCCCTTCTTTCCCATTTTGTTCTTAACCAGAAAAGTAGTGATTTGAGGCAACCTGACATTTGTGGTTTCACCCCTGGACAATGTTGTCCTGAAAGCCCACGTGGCCACAAACGCTTTGGCCTTTTTGGATCGGCTTTATGCTTCTTCTCCAAGCAGCTCTCTATGCTGACACCTCAGTGAGTGATGGGCCAAGTGTACACGCAGGGCTCTGAGCAACCAACAGGGATCATCCCATGGGGTCCCTCGAGGTTGGCTGCTCTCCTTCCTTTCCTTCTTTCTTCCCTCCCTCTTTCTCTCGAGAGCTGGCTCAGACGATGCAATTACAGCATCAAAACCTGAGTGAGCAAATAAAAGGGGTTTGTCTGGAGTTGGCAGCGGCCCGAAATTCCTTCAACCGGTGAGACTGGGCCGGTCCCCACCCATGCTGCAGCCAGCAGCAATGCCTCCCCAACCCCACCAGGTCCCTGCACCTCCGTGGTGGCTCCTGGGCCCTTTCCATGATGGTGAACTCCATGGAGCTGGGACAGTCCTGGCTTCTGTGCTGCTTCTGCTGCTGCCTGGGACATTTCCCCCACTGCTAATCCCCTCCCTGTTCTGTATACCAAGTGTTTGTGGAACTGGGCCATGCTGTGGCTGTGGCTGCAGTAGGGAAACCTGAGAGCATCCCATGGCTCGGAGCCACCTGGCCTTTTGCTGGCTCCTAGCCATGCTCCTGTGCCAGCCCTGCCTGTGCCACTGCGTCACCAGGCTGGTGGGGAATGAGGGGCTGGAGTCCATCCATAGGGCAGCAGCTGCAAATCTGGGTCTCCGCTCCCTGCAAGGCGGTGGGGTTGGTTGTCCCCTGTGCCACTTAAAAATTAAAGGAGCTGATATCGCTATGCGCCTGGAATCGGTCACTGCCACAGAGCATAATTGAGGTTATTTGTTGCCTCTGAAATGTTTGGTCAGCTCTGCACGGGTGCCTCCCTGAGGGGATGCATGAGGACAGTGCTCAGCTTTGGGTGCCTGGAGGGTCCTGGGGATCTGGGGAGCCTTGCTAATGTGAACACCAGGCACACGTGCCACAGCACCTGTCTGCCCAGGGCACCCCATGATACCAAAGACTATTGCAGGGCTGAGGACAAAGAAAAGGGTCCCATCCTGCCATCATCCAGGGATGTGTGCTAAAGGAGCGGTCAAACCTCCACCAGACCCAAAGCCCAAGAGGGTACGTGCAGGGTTGGTGCTTCTTGGCCACCCCAAATGTTTTGGCCACTCTGGTTGTGCACTCACAGCTCAAGCTCTGGAATCAGTTGCTTTCTGCCACAAATCTGCGGTTTCTTGAGCCCAAATCCACAGTGCATGCAAGCCCTGCTGCTGGGTTTTTCCACAGCCTCTTGCACGAGGGCATATCATTGTCCCCAGAACGCTCCAGGACCAGAATGGTGACTGCCCAGGGGTGACACGAAGGTGTCCCACTGCCCTAATGGACACTCAGTGCTCGTCCCACCCTCGCGTCCTGGTGCTGCCAGCGACTTTTTCAGGCGCGTGCATCCAGAGCAGCCACCGAACCACGGGGTGGAAGCCAGGAGCGGGAGCTGCAGCCCTCCCAGCAGCTGCCGCCGTCTTTCCCCGGGCTCGGGGGACCGCAATGCTGTCCCCATCCGCCGCCGAACAGTGCCACCTCCCGGCAAAGCCACCGCGGGACGCGGGGCTGAGCACCCGATGCAGCTCCCTCGCTTGGCCGCGGGGAAACTGAGGCACGGAGCAGCCAAGCTATGGAGATTCAAGCACTGCGGCCACCTGCGCGCAGGACCTCTGTCTCCAGCCTGTCCCCAACCCTGGGGACAGCAGCATCCCTTGTACCCTCTGCACGGTGACCCCTCCTCGCCCCGATTCAGGTTGAAGAAGACCATTTCTCTGCCTCTGCCCAGCACTTACGCTGCCTGATAAATAAAATGGAAACAAATCCTCCAGCGTTTGCAGCAAATGGGTCTCCACGGGGGGTGGCTTTCAATAATTCGAATGCCGCCGCAGCGCAGAGCCCACGCCAATGGGTTTTAATAAACACTGCCGTAATGTGACATGCAATTTATTATTCAGCTTAAAACAGGAAGCAAAGAGTTTAATAACAGCGGCAGGTTGCCGTCTCTGGCACTGCGAGGTGCTGGCTGAGAGGGGGTGGCACATCCCCCAAAGTGAGGGGTTCGGGTATGCTTTGGGGAGCGCTGGTTTGGCTGTGCCTGATGCTTGGGGGGGTTATCCGGGCAGTGTGGGGGGATGGCCTTATCGCAGGGCTGGCTGCTGTCTCTCCTCACGGTGTTTTTGGCCCTGGGGCTGCTCTCTGTCACTTCTCTGGTCTGTAACAGCCAGAGGCAGGCGGAAACGGGAGCCTCCGTGCCTGGTCCCTGCTGCTTCCGAAGTGGGGGGATCTGGCTCACAATTACCATGCCTTTGACTTGGCAGGCCTCAAAGTGTGAGTGATGGCAGCAGCCCCTGCGCCCATGCAGGCTGGGGGGTGCCTGTGCTCTTCCACAGCCTGCCAGCCCCATGCCCCGGGGAAACTGCAGCTCCTGGGTGAACAACCTGTAAATTCACATCCCAGATCTGGGATGTCCTGGGAGTGCAGTGATGGATTGGAGCACATCAGAATGGGTCTCCTGGCCTCGAGTCACCCCAAACTCCATCTCCCTCTCTGCTACCTACCCATGGTTATGGAAGGGTTAAGCTGAAGGTCCCAGCTGAGCAAGTGCTCTCCGGGACATCCCGCAGCTGCCCAGCCTCCCCTCTGCCCCTGCCCTTATCCATCTCTCTTATCCATCCGGGCAGGATCAGGATGCTTCCCTCTGCCTCCTGATGAGGAGCAGAGCTGGCGGAAGTGGGGATGGGATCCACAAAAAGCAATCCCTGTTCCTGGGTCAGGGGCTAGCATCTGGGCAGGGACATTTTGCCTGTCCTGTGCCAGAGCATCCCTAGCAGCATGGATGCTGCCTTGGATGTGCTGTTTAATTAAATGTGAAGGGCTCCTGTGCTTCAGCCCTTGCTGCAGCCTGAGCGACTTCAGGAAAGAGGCCTTTTATTAAAAGAGAGAGAGGCTCTGCCAGGCAGCCATCAAACAGCACATTTAATTGTCTCGGCTTGTTTAGCTGTCGTGCAGGGAGGGATGTGCTCCCAGCCAGGTCCCCAGGCTGTGCAGCTCAGGAGGATTGCTGGGGTTGGGAGCTGCACCTGGGGTACCAAACCCACAGCTTCATCCTGGGGGAGAATATTTGGTGCTGTGTTTGGTCTCCAGGAGAGCCACAGCCTTTCCCCTGGCTGGGCCAGGCTAGAGCTCAACATTTGGAGAGGAAAACAAAGATCAAGAGGGGGAGGAAATGTGGGCTTTTATCAAAATCTTCTACTTCAAAGTTGTCCGGCTGAAGTGCTCCCCTTTGGTTTAATTTGAAGTGATGTTTCCTTCAGCGACTGCAGTAAATGGCATCAAATGAGGCTGAAGCGGCCGGAAAGCCTGGAGAGGAAGCGCGTCCCTTGGGAACAGCTGGAGTCAGACCTTCCCTGCGGGTTCAGCCGCAAGATGGGGACAGGAGATGGAGCTCCTGCCCTGTCCTGGGGCTCTGCAGAGCAGCTTTGGGGCCAGTTGCTTCCAGCCCCATTACTGCAGTGTTCTCTGCCCCCATCCCACTGGGGCAGCCCCTGGTTTTGAGGGTGATGCAGCTGCAACTCTGCCCTCGTGCATCCCCCAGCCCGCAGCCCCTGGGGCTTTGGCAGCCCCCCGCATGGCTGAGAGCTAAACCAGACTGCAACAAGCTGCAGGCAACTTGCAGGGGAAGGGGCACAAATTCATCTTCCTAATGGAGCACTCTGGACTGCCTTGAAACTGAAGAGGCTAATCCCTCCTCCCTGCTCCCATGGCCAGGGAATTGCCCCCCTTTAGCGGCATAAGAAGGATGAGCAGAGCCATATTCCCTTCTCCCAGCCTGGCATCCCTGCTCCACGATGACAGGTCACTGCTTCCTCCCCATTCCCCTCCTCTGCCTCCCCCAGCTCCACTAAGCGCTCCTGGCTGCTCTGGGATGATGCAGGCGGGCGCAGAGTTCATGGGAGCCGTACCTGTGCTTTGTCTTCATCTGTCACCCCTGCTGACAGTCAGATCCATCTTAAACTGGGAGCGAGAGGGGAAGAGAGGGAAGCAATAATTAACCTCTGCGCGGGCCGCTCCCGAAATGCCGCGCTCTGGTGATGCACGAGGAGACGGCAGTGACACTTTTATTGCTGCTCCAGCGCTGTGCGGCGCGTGGAGGAGGTGATGTGGCCGGGCTGGGACACCTGAGGCTTTATTATGGCAGAGGATCCATGGGGCACGTGGCTCAGTTGAGGTGTGGGGTGGTGGTCTACATAGGCTTTGGGGAGAGATTTGGGGCTCTAGGTTGATGTGGTGATACATGACATGCAGCTGGACCTTGTCCTGGCACTGCTGGGACTGTCAGAGCAGTGGCAGCACTTTCCTGCATACCGATGCCCGCTCAGCAGCTGTTCCAGTTTCATCTATTAGAAAAGTGAGAGCAAATCAGTGCCAGCTATGCTTGCAGCCAAACCCCAGGTTGTGCCAATCCAACTCTTGGCACAACCCGGGAGGCACTAAGCCCAGGTGGGTTGACATCCTGGCAAGGGGCAGCACCCTGAACTGCAAGCATCCCAGTGAGCCCCAGAACAGAACACAGCCACTGCACTGAAGCAGATGTCACCTGTATGAGTTGGAGATGGGGGAAACTGAGTTATGGAGGGTGGGACTGATGTCTCTAAGTCTCATATCTTTCCCTCTTCTAATTGCAAGAGCATCTGCTG